AATAATAATAATATACTTAAAACAAGGTAGAAGCCAAACCAAAAGAAGGATTTTTGTGAATGGACCGCAATAACTGACCAGCTTCATGAATCCTCACAGTTCTCATGGGTGATGCAGGAAAACAAGAATGTATGGGGTTTTTTTTTTTAAACAAATTGTGTTTATTGTTTAGAATTAACAAAAACTGGACCAATTATAAAGTGAAACACATTGTATTATATTAAACTATTTAACTTCTAATGATGTGTTGTGAAAAGTTAGAATACATTCAATTTGGTTGTTTTCCTGAAAAAATGTATGATTATAGATGATTATGCCCTGGTATCCATCAAAGCTGCATGTTAAAAATAATTTAAAATCCTTTTAGGGGCCACTTAAAAATTTCTTACGGGCCGGATTTGGCCCATGAGCCCGAGTTTGACATGCCTGTTAACACTCTATGACCCCACTCTGACCAAGGCCCTTGGGCCAGGCACTTCTCCACTTAGACGGTGGTGGTCAGAGAGGCCCATTGCTTTCATCAGTCCCAGGGCAGCCAGCGTTACACTGCCAACATCCACCATTTTTAGGAGCGCCAAACACAGAGTTGTCAATGTTGGATTTTTTTGGGCCAACTGAAATGTTCTAGTTGAAGTTCAAGAAATGTTAACTTCTGTCTATATGACTTTTTTTTTTGCAATATAGCGCAGGAAAGGCTTGTGACCCACTAAAATGTTTCCTATGATCCACTTTTTGGTCATAGGAATTCATTCATTTTTGCAAATCTGTGGGACTAAAAAAGGGTTTCTCATCTTATCTACAGCTATGTTTCACTTCAAGGCCAGGAAAGTTTATTTGTATAGCACATTTTATACACAAGGAAACAAGTGCCGAACAAAAAAAGGTACAGAGCATCAGAACAATCGCTCAGAGCATTACAATCATAGATAATCACAGTGCATTTAAGAGTGAAGACACAATCCTTCAGTTGTATGCACAGCTCAACAGAACTGTAGAAGTAGAAGCCTGTCTCATGTTTTCAGGAAGACTTTTCCACATTTTAAATAAATGTAAATGGAATCATCTGAAACACTGCCTCCTTCCTTAAACTCTGTAAAGCAGTCCCAGTTGGAGCAGAGCCTTCTCTTTGCATTTAACTCTACAAATATACCGGTACATATTCTGTTTAATCAGGCTGTGATGCAAAACAATATGGCCGTCATAGTTCGTGTGTAGCGCTTTTTAGGGGCAAGGTAAAGCCAACCACAATAGACTACTTACAGGATATTTCTACACATATAGGCCAACCTCCCCATTCCTCCGCCTGCCCATACGACCAGTTTACCAGACAGTCGCTGAACCGTGACTTTTTTCCATAATCTAAAAGCAGCCACCTCCGTAGTGTTTACTGTAATAAGTCGGCTGCTACTATATGCCTATACCATTATGAATACCTCTGCATATGTGCCCTCGTGGGTCAGGGTCTCTGCCGGCTCCCCCACTGTAAACAAGTGTGCTTCCAATTACCAAAGTGGAGCAGCGTGCCGCCATCTTGAACCGGTTGCACTGACTTGAAGGGCCGGCTGGAATGCGCGGTGGTTTTAAGGGCCCTATAAAGAGACTGGAGTTTTAATTGCAAGTTTTTTCTCATTACGGACTGAGGCTGCTTTTTGGTGGGAGTGTAGTGCGGACGGGATGGGATGAAAGTAAACAAAAATGAAAGGGTTGCCAGGTTGTAAACATGTGGCGGCAGAGTGGAATTTGTTTGTTGAATCAGCAAAAAATTGGATGTTGTATTTTGGTTTTGAATGTCGGGAATTTACTAGAGGAAAAATGTGCAGCGGAAGTGTGTTTGTGTGAATGTATTGACCTGGTTATTTCTTGTAGAGGTCGACTTTTCAGAGGGAATACAACACTGATAAGTAGTTGTCAAGGCGACCAATATGGAGCCATATTAATCCTTTTGCGCCTAAATCCAGGGTACTTGCAGCCTGACATCCCACAAACGTTCCCTAATTATGTCTTACATCTTACTGTTGATAATTTTACTAGTTTCAATCTCTTAGAGTTATTTGATACAGTTTTAGGACTCCACCTGTTTTTTCTTTCAATTTATTTAACAGTTTGTAGAGTTTTGCCATGTTTGTTCTGTCTGTTTCACATCACATTTCTGAAAAGCTTTGGTTCCTCAAGGATTAATCTGCATTAACAATATATAACCACATGGTTTTAATTTTGTTTAAATACATGAAACATATGTTGATTTTAAATTGTATGTCTTCAATTGTAGTTCATTTTGTAATTGATACTCCATACTTTGACCAGATGGCTCAGTTACAGTACCTATATTAAGAATTTGTCATAACAATTATAGTAAAAACTGTTTATGCCCTAGACTTAAAGATATATAGGAGGATTTTCTGCTTCGGGTGGATCATCAAGACTTTTGGTCCTCCCAGTTGTCAATCATTCTGGTGATACATGCTCGTCAAATAAGACCAGAGAGTTTTGTTTAAAAAGTGGAGAGGGCGGTTCTTTCCTAATATTTGGAAAAAAATCACCTTTATACCTTTAAGCATAGCAGTAAGATTTGTTGGAGGAGCATAGTTTGTGTAAAGGGGAGGGGCTTTAGCTGTCTACAAGGATTTGATCTGCATCTAATCAGGACCCTGTGAGGGCGGGTCCAACTGGTGTCTGTGATTGAACAATGTCCCTCCATCTTCTCAATTTGAAAATATATCTGACCTTTTTCTTTTAACTAAACAAATGACAAATAGCTCCCACTGTATCGACCGGATGTGATGTAACGGCAGAATCGAAGAGATAAAGTGCTGGGTGCTTTTATGGGTGGATAGATCTCCCTGGTCCATGAATCTGTGATTTTATCTGCATCCTGTGTCTGCGTGTCCTGTTATTTAAGTTAATTACGACTGAAATAAATCAAATAAACTCAACCGTGTGGCACATACTGTATACAGCAAATACAATTGCGGTGAACTAATACAAGTTTATCTATTTTATGCAATGAGTTGTATCATTGGGTAGGGTAGAAAAAAAAGACTGTCCCTAATTCATATCAGTTTTGCCGAAATGTCGCCACCAATAATCGGTCAAACTCTGTTCTGTCTGCTATAAAATCTAAAATCTTTCAGTATAGAGAATTCTGCAATAATCAAATGTGAGAAAAAGATTTATGTGTGGAATAGTTACTAATGTTGTGCCATTCGTTCATAAACACATTTGAATCTGATAAGGTGATCACAATAGCGTTAATGACATTCAATTCAATTAAATGTATTTTTGTATAGCCCTAAATCACAACAGTAGATATCTCCGGGGATTTTACAAAACCGTTGAAATCGCCAACACAGGTCAGAGAATCAAACCGTTCAAACTCAAGAAATTCAATGTTAAAAACACATAGGTATTGGTCCATAAGGGGCAGACGACCAATGTCCTTAAATGTTCACTTTAGACCCTCCTGCATCACATTTTGCCTTCTGTGCGCCTAAAACACATACATTTTTCACATAGTTTAAAAACCCTTTGGATGTATCGATCCATCTGGAAAACATAAAGTGTACCATCTGTTGTGATATGTGCTTTTTCTTGGAACAGCGTCGCAGGAATGGCTAACAGAAGATTCATGGTCATTTACGTGCATATTTTTCTGTCTTAAATAAGATTGAAAATGTCCTGTTTTTTAGCAAATTAAGAAAGTTTCTAGCATGAGAGAAAGAAAATGCAACTTGGCTTGAAATAAGAAAAACAGAGCTGTAAGTGCCGCAAATGGCTCCTTGACTATGTTAAAAAAACAGGTGCTCATCGACTGTGCAAGAAGCGAGTCAGGTGCCGAGGAAAATAGCAGAAATGCACTGGACGATGTGAAATACGTAGAAAAACAGCTAACATTGATTTGAAAAAGTCCTTAAATGTGCGTGGAAGGCCTTTTGTGCGTAATGAGGCTTGCTTCACTGGGAAATCTTCTTGTGGCGCTGGTCAAAATACATTGAAATTGAGACCTCTTAAAGCTCAGATACATGATTTAGTTTGTATCAAAACTTTTTCTTATATTATTTCAAGTACATTACTTGCCAGTGGGACAAGTACAATTCGTTTGTGTTTAAGTGACATGCAAGATTTCATTGTGAATGAAAAAAATAATAATAATTGGCTACCACCCTTGAAATAAATGCACCCTTTTTCATGTCCCATTGACTGGAAAGAAAGACGCACTTTTCTTGCTTCCTCTTTGGAGTATTAGTACTCACATTAGGGCTGTAACAAGTTAATAGTTGTACTAGTTACAATGACACAACAAATATGTAAATATGTTTAATATGTTAAATACGTCATAAAGAGCTGGAATTACTGCAGAATAAAACACAGATTTGTCCCAAAAATATTTTAAGTCAACTTTTGTTACAGCTCATCTCTGTAAAGTGAAATCCCTTTGGCTTTGTTTTGATTGAATGATACAAATGTCATGCTCACTGGTTATTCAAACAACTAATTGATTCATTGAATTTTGTTTCTATAAATGACAACAAAACAGAAAAAAATACATACAAATTTAACAGGAACATTAACAAGTAAAATGCCAAACCAAACATACAATTATAAAAACTACTACAAAGAATACATATTACAACAAAGAGTGCATAACCCTAATTCAGCAAAACATATATTCCTTATTTGTCACTTTGTTGTGTCCCATTTGATTATTAATAAGCGTTAATTACAGTCTAATTCACACAATTGAACGTGTTTGTTTTTTGGTTGTTCCCTTTCAGTTTTGTGTCCTTTTTCGGTCCCGTTCTCTAATATGCTGCGTATTTGTCCTCAATCTTTGCCCAAACCTCCACCAAAAGCATGTTTCATTTGATGTTAATAGCAGATTCCATTGTGGCGAAGATCTCGGTGGACTCACAGAACTAATGAAAGCTTTTCTCCCTGTGGATGTGTGGAAAGCCATCAGCGCTCTGTCCTAAACCCGGCTCTTGTCCTCTCTTCTCTTGCAGACGGTCGAGAATGGGCTGCGTCCAATGTAAGGATAAGGAAGCAGCCAAACTCACGGACGACAGGGAGACCAGCCTGTCCCACAACTCGGGCTACCGCTATGGCTCGGAGCCCACGCCCCAGCACTACCCGGGCTTCGGGGTCACCACCATCCCCAACTACAACAACTTCCACACGGGCGCCTCCCAAGGGGTCACCGTGTTCGGAGGGGTGCACAGCTCGTCGCAGTCCGGGACGTTACGGTCGCGCGGAGGGACCGGTATGTGCTGCTCTGTCTGGGTCTGGCTGAGGGCATGTGTGTTGCCAGTTTAGGAATAACAAGGTTTTTTTTGACAATTTTTCTACTAGCTAAGTTTTTTGTCATTTGCCAAACACCATTGTCTTTTTATCAAGAAAGAGGTATTCAAATTGATATACAGTAATTGCTCTTTATTCGAGTTATATAAACGTTAAATCGGCCGTGGTCTTCTTTACCATCCTGTATACATGGATCTTTGAACCAACACTAGACACTTTTTACTTACTTTTGTAGATTTTTCTTGCTGTAGTCTGTTTTACTTAATATGGGATATGCAAACGATTTAACTGTTCAGAAGTATTTTTGGCACCAATGAATGAAAAATACAACACAGTTTTGACATTGATGAAAACACAATGCCAGAAAACAATGTATAGCCCAATGATAAATGTTACAGTTAGAGATTTTATACTTGCTCCTTTATCACACTAAAGTTAGAGATTTTTTTTTTTTTCTTTTGCTGAGTGCTCATCATTTCTACTGTTTTGAAACTGGTGAGGCCACACTGACCTAAGCTGTGTTTACACCGCCGAAGTTCACTAAATATCAGCTGCATGACTTTTGTCAATCAGTCTAAAGCTTAGTCATGAGTTTAGTCAATCTGACTTCTGCCCTGCGTTGGTGGAAAACGCGAGGGTGGAAGTGGTGGGTGGGCTTTGATGCTAACGCTGGTACTTCCGAAATGGCGAGCATGTTAGCAGCCGTTCACAGTCACAGTAGAATGTCAACTCAGGGTGAAGACTTGTGATTGGTTGTCGCACCTGTGTTGCTGCATGCATCTGCCCACCGTACCCACCTCTGCTGAGCCGGGCAAACGTGCGTGCTGCAACGTACATGCATTGAAATTCGCCGCAACGCATAATCTGGTTGGAACACAGTCTAATAAAGGATCTATAATCCTAATTACCAAGAATGACTAAAGACATAAAAAAGAGACAATTCCTTGAGCAAAAGTAAACATGTTTATCACAGACTGAGTGTGGAGTTGTCTAGCGCAGCTAGAAACGTTGTGTCCTGCTGCTCCACATGACCTCGGCTGTCTTCTGTAGATGGATTATCAGCCCACGTCACTTGGCCGTACAACCAGCTTTGACAAAAATAATGAAACGCGTCAGTTTTTAGTGGATGTCCGGTCACTGAAGTTTGAGTCATTGTGTCTCGTCATTTATGCATTCACCTGCCGCCTTTGCCACATTGCTAGCTAACACGATGGCTAACACACCGCAGCTAATCAAGGTGAGAACAGCTGGTCATAGGCAATAAAGGAGAGAATGACTGAGATTGACTCGGTACAACTGGAGACAGTGGCAAAATTTGTCTAAACTTCAGGGCGTCTGTAGAGATTTATGTCAGGAACTTGGGAAAAACAAAACTGGAATTCAGGGCAAAAGCAACTTCTACTGCACAGGAGCATCACCTGCTGTGAGGAGAGAGGCCAGAGCTCCATCCTGATTATAAGAGTCTGATAATGTGTTCATGGGAGTTTTCTGGCTGTTTTTCTGATTGACTAAAGCACATGAACACAAACAAGTGGGAACACAAGCATCTGAACTCGAACACCCGCAAACACGAAGCATTATACCAACCGCATAGCTGTTCTGGACCACACGTTTCCATGGTAACATCTGTCGTCATCTGAAGGCTTTCACAGAAGACAATACGACGTGTGACCACTTTAAAGAACAGCATCAAACATCAACACTTATTTCTTATTCAAAACTGTGAAATAATATTACATTTAGTCTTTTTAGTATACAGTATGTTATTTATATATATTTATACTGTATATAAGCACGCACAGTAGGTTTTCCCAGCTCTACAACGGCCTTTATCTTTTGCATTGAACATGTAACTCACTATTTGTACTTGATAATTGTACATTGGGGTGTAGTTTCTTCATCAGCTGGTAAAGAAACGGCGTACAGTGATTCCCGGCGCCGCAGAGAGGAGATTCAATGGAAGGAGGTCAGTCTGTGATGAGGTCGAGAAAATCCATTAATTTCTGACACCCAACCAATATAGAAAGTTATGAGTCTCCCCCAGCTCTGTGTGGAATAGACGTTCTGCTGCAGGCTCCGTGGGCTCACAAACACTGCATATGAGTGTGTATACTGACAAATTATGGCTTTAATAATGGAATAAAGTCTATTTCAAAAGATTGTTTGAGTAATTTTGCATCTGAAGAAGATCGTCGTCTGAGAGGTCGTGTTCATGGATTCTAAAACTTGTATTTATGTACATTTAATGATATAATTTGATTTGATTGATGATTACAAACATTTTAACTTCTTTATAGTGATTATTAGATCAATCCACAAATAAAATTGATTTATAAATAGGAGCTGATAATTCCCAAAATAAAATCAATAATTAAAACATACTATTTTTTTAATTATTGTATCATTATAAATTGATCCACAGAGTAAATACAAAAATCAATAATATTGTCTCTTATTCTTTAAGTGAAAATTATTAAAGTAAGACCTCTAACTTTGGGGAGGGTCTAAGAACAGGGGCCTTTTATCCATTTGCTTAAAGGCACACCGCGGACTTTGTGACCTAAAGAGTTGACACATATGAGTTATTTTATATGAATACTTGGGCCAATATACAGCGCTTGACACTTGCAATGCTCCGAGCGGGGCTGCCCTCTTGAAATACCGCCCATGTAAGTTTCGAGCAGACGGACCGTCTGCCACCAGGTCACGTGACTTGGAAGAAAGACTTGCTTTACGGCTACAGGCGCTGATATACTCATGGAGCTAAGGCTTTTGCTACTCATTTTTCACCTGCTCGACTCCTGGTCATGGCTGAGGCAAGGAAAAATTTTAAACCTTCGGAGGAGGCTAAAAAGAGGAAACGCGAAAGGGATCGTGCTGTAAGCTGCATGTCTGTATGAGCGCTGCTCTTCACCTGGTTCCTGGATGTCATTGACTGCAAAGATGTCATTCCACGCAGCACGAGCTAGACGCAGAACTCCCTCATCCAGGATATAGAAGTCCATGTGTGGTAGATTACTAATGCAGCGGTCTGGAGGCTGACCACAGCAGAGTCTCTCAATATCTGTAGGCATGTCTCTACAGTTTGAACACACACACCAGTGCATGCTGTCTGAATACACACTCAAAAGACACCGGCTGACTGTTTGTTGACTTTTGCGACAGTGCTGAGTTGCTTGTGGCCACTAGGGGCGCTAAACGTGAAAGTTGCAGGTCTAGCGCCCCTAGTGGCCAAGAGTTACACGGTGTGCCTTTAATGCTGGGATACCTAACTTTGGAGCCACAAAAAAATGGCACAGTTTGGTTCTATCTTTCGATTTAACATACGTCCTCTTTCACATGTTTAAATCTGCTTTTTCCAACAGAAAAGAGAAATAGAGAAGACCACAATCACTCAGCCCAAAGTGTTAAATAGTGACTTGCAGGGCTCTTTATTACTAGTACACAAAAGATGACATGTTTTATGATTCAATGATTACAGCGGTTTTGTTTTATCTGTATTATAATTAATAACAGTCTTTCTGTTGGGACAAATTCAATAGTTTTGATTATAAGGAAAAAAATTAGGTATTCCTGCTTTATTTCCTCTCAACATTGATGAATCTGTTTGTCTTATTGTTGCATTCTCTATTCTGCTTCTGTCTGCGTCTTCCTCCTCTGAGACGACTGCTGTAGATATTTAGGGCGGTATAAAAATGAATTTGATTTGACTATAACAGCAACAGCCTCAATTTCAGCTTGTGACACAGTTTTGGATCATCCCTCACACTTCACAGCCACACACACGTACACACACACACACACACACACACACACACACACGTACACACACACATACACACACACACACACACACACACACACACACACACACACACACACGTACACACACACACACACACACACACACGTACAGGACTTGCGTTTACATGACACTATTGTCTGCTGTTTACTGGACTTCAACTCACACCACAGTTTGTTTAGCCACAATGCGCTCTGTAATTTGCCTGCGGGCGACAAAATGAAAACATTTGAACCTCTCCAGACCGGGGCCCCTGGGAGAACGAGGCTCCCATTACAAACAAGGCCGTAAAACACAAGCTTCTTTTAAATATGCATTTGTACTTGTGTGTGGATGCTTTTGCTGACTTCGGCGTCTCAGATCAGTGGCGAAATGGCCTTTTGGAGCAGGTTTTGTTTGAGGCTGTGATTGATAATGGAACGTTTGGGGGGAAATCTATTTTTCTGTCACAACATAAAAAGTATTTTAAAAAGTAAAGTCCAACCACAACATGCCGTTTTCATCTTATTGGAAAGCGTCATCTTTTGCATACTGAAGTCACTGTTTGACTCTTTAGGCCAAGAGGTGAGAGTAGTCCCCTCTTTTTAATTTTTCTGTCTAAAAAAACTGATCTAAAGATGTGACTGGGGCTGAAAATACTACAGTGAGGAACTATAGTGAATATATTTGAAAGATTGGTATTCCAACTTTAAGGAATCAGAAAAGGGCGAATGGTTGTAAGGTTTCCTCAAACTTTAATTCATCTTTTTCAGGCAGCAACGAGAAAATGCAAATATATTGTAGCTCTAGAACCTCATACCTTACGAACCTCAAAGACTTTCAATCCACTCCAAGAGGCAGTAGTAGCAGTAATAATATAATAGTAGTAGTAGTAGTAATAGTAGTAGCAGTAGCAGCAAAAGTAGAAGTATTAGTTGAAATGAAGATCCTTTGAAGAGATATTTTATTTGTGCCTTTATTCTGGAAATGTTGGTGTTTTGCCTCACAAGCGAAGGAACAGTAGGAATGAAGAGCACACAATAAGATAAGGGAACATTAAATTAAAAGGTGAAAATAGTTGTTTATGTCTCTCTTTAAGACTAAACGTCAACAACATTAATAAGCAACAGTTGAGTATTAATCCTCGCCCCAAAACGCCTGCATGGCAGAGGTCCACACAGATTGAGGTCAGTTTGGTATTGGCTAACGCTTGCTAACAGAGTGTAGCTTACGTTAGCGGCTGCAGCTAGCTCGCCAATGCTTTGAGACCAGTGGGAGCGCCCCGGGCCGTGCCTTTCACATTAGCTGCTGTATCGACAGAAGCATTGGAGGCCCATGTGTGAAGCAGCTGACGTAGGTCCATGCAGTAGGTCCATGCAGCAGGTCACATGCAGCAGGTCACATGCAGCAGGTCACATGCAGCAGGTCACATGCAGCAGGTCACATGCACGCCTGGAGCTGCAGGATGTGTGCAGACACCCAGGCTACACATCCAAAAGAGAAGATGTCTTATTATTTGACGCAGAACACCAGAGGATTTCATAAGACAAGACGGTACGCTTTTGAAGTCCGTGGGATTGGAAAAGCATAGACGTATTTAATTAAAGTAAAAACATTTATTTTGTCAGTACACACCCTAGTATATAGCTGGCTTACTATTTTGGCCAGCTATATACCCCTAACAAAGCCCGAGCTCAAAAGGAGGATTTTCTTTTTCTGGGTGGATCATCGACTATTGTCAATCATTCTGGTGATATGTGACGGACCAGAGTGTTTTTGGGAGATTCTTCCTCACGATGGCTTGCGCTGAAAGCACAGGTTGGGCTTCCCGCTGATTCTTCAGTCACAAAGTTTCTAGTCGATAAGTTTGCCGTTCTATTTAGAGAAATCCATTTCAAATCACTTCCAGTAACAGTTATCTACGTCTGTTTTGTCTGACATAGTGGAAAAAGAGCAAATCTACTTGGAAAGTGAGCTTGTGTGAGCGATGCCAACAGTGACTTGTAAACAGAGCGTGCACGAGGAGTACTGGGATCGTCCACGTCTGTCACGCATGTTTTAGTTGGCGTTCCCTGTCGGAGTGCATGTGCATTTTTTCAATAAGTGAAGAGGGCGGCTTTCCTAAAATTCATGAAAATCCTCCTGTATACCTTAAAGGGAATGTCAGTTACTTATTGAAATGTGAAGAGAGAGAGATTTTTTTCCAAAGCCAGCACCAGTTAGACCCGCCCATTCTCAGCCCACTCATTGAACATTTAAACATATAGTAACATGCGTAAGAGTGAGAGTATTCAGAATACATTTAATGCAGGTGTCGAGTGTGTTCTCCCCATGGGTCTGAGTGTATCTGCAGTGGAGCACACTGCCCTGAGTGAAGATCACAGTGACCTCACATGGGCCTGTCCTCTCTCAGCCTCTCTGTCATCTCTCAGTCCTCTCTCTGCCCTCTCTCTCGGCCCTCTCTCTCGGCCCTCTCTCTCGGCCCTCTCTCTCGGCCCTCTCTCTCAGTCCTCTCTCTCAGTCCTCTCTCTGCCCTCTCTCACAGTCCTCTCTCTCTGCCCTCTCTCTCGGCCCTCTCTCTGTTCTCTCTCTGTCAATCAATCAATCAAATGTTATTTATAAAGCGCTTTTCATACAAAAAATGTAACACAAAGTGCTTTACAGTTTAGTTAAAAACAATCCAACATGCCCAGCCCTAAACCCTCCTCCCCACAGACCCCCCCCAAAACCACATTTATAATTATATATACAACCACATGCGTATACACACACACACACAGACACACACACACATACAAGTATAAAGTCACATCAGGTACAATAGGTAAAACAATAAAAAGAAATGGGGCTGGGAGCAGATGTAACCGGCTGAAGAAGCGCCATCCAAGGAGCCATCTGCACCAGGAGCAGAGAGCCGGCTGCAGCCACAGGGAACAACACAGGACCCAGTGGAGAGAGGGGCCCCAGACCCCACCAGGCCCAGGAGTCAGACCCCATAGGACCCAGAGGAGAGAGGAGGCCTCAGACCCCCACCGGATCCAAGAGCCAGTCCCCCGAAGCCACAGCAGACCCTAGCTCCCAGTGCAGTCCTCTCTCTGCCCTCTCTTGGCCCTCTCTCAGTCTCTCAGTCCTCTCTCTCACTGTGGTCTGCTGTTGTGTCTGCCCACAGGAGTGACCCTGTTTGTGGCTCTGTACGATTACGAGGCTCGCACTGAAGATGACCTCACCTTCAGGAAGGGCGAGCGCTTCCAGATCCTCAACAGCACGTAAGTCTCACACAATGGTGCACAAGTCACTTTGAGGAAGACTGGAGTGAAGCCTTATTCCTGATGTTTGGATCAAATACCACTGCTGATCAAGAAGATTGTGTCGGATTCTGTTAGATATTACATAGAACAGAAGATCATAGAGTTTTTTTTAATAATAATGCATTGTGTCAATACAGCGCTTTTCTGGACACTTGTCATTGTCAGTATTCTTTCACTTCATACACGGTGGTGATTAGTTACTTTTCTCTGCCACTTTCACTGACTTTCAACTTAGATGTGGATTCAGGCGCAGAAGTTATTGTTGATTTTGACAGTGTGAACTTCTTAAGGGAAAATCTCAGTCAATTACCTTAGACTTCAAAATCAATTGTTATTCTTGAAATGCAACTGCTAATGTTCTGTAATTCGGAAACGCAGATCAGAGAATCAAACAGTTAACACAAGAAATGCAATGATGAAAAACACATAGAGCCAGTGGTCTAGACGACCAATGTCCATAAACATGTTATTTTTGGATACTTGTAAGACAGAGACTATATGCTTTTCCTTCTCTCTGTGGTTTGAATTTTAGGTGCCTCAACTTTAACATGTACATAATTTTTTTTTGTCTGAATAGTAATCCTGATTGTGTGAAAATATAGTTACATGTTGGTGGTGCTCTGCTGTGCTCAGGGAGGGGGACTGGTGGGAGGCGCGCTCTCTCACCACAGGAGGCACCGGCTACATCCCCAGTAACTACGTGGCCCCCGTGGACTCCATCCAGGCGGAGGAGTGAGTGCCCTGTCTCCGTGTGCACCAGAACATGCTCATGTATCACTGTCTCTCACCTCTCCTCTTCACTTCCCTCTCCTCCTCTCTCGCCTCTCCTCATCTCTCGCCTCTCCTTTCCTTCACCTGTCCTCCCCTCTTACCTCTTCTCCTCGCTCTCCTCTCTCCCCTCTCCTTATCGCTCCACTCTCCTCCTGTCCTCCTCTCTTACCTCTCCTCACTCTCTTCTCACTCTCCTCTGTCCTCTTCTCCTCACTTTCTTCTCTGCCCTCACTCTCATCTCTCCTCCCTCCCCTCTCCCCCTCTCCTCCTCACTCTCCTCTCTCCCCTCTCCTCCTCACTCTCCTCTCTCCCCTCACTCTCCTCCCTCCTATCTCCTCCTCACTCTCCTCTCTCCCCTCTGCTCCTCACTCTCCTCTCTCCCCTCACTCTCCTCTCTCCTCTTCACTCTCCTCTCTCCTCTTCACTCTCCTCTCTCCCCTCACTCTCCTCTCTCCTCTTCACTCTCCTCTCTCCTCCTCGCTCTCCTCTCTCCCCTCACTCTCCTCTCTCCCCTCTCCTCCTCACTCTCCTCTCTCCCCTCACTCTCCTCTCTCCTCTTCACTCTCCTCTCTCCCCTCACTCTCCTCTCTCCTCCTCGCTCTCCTCTCTCCCCTCTGCTCCTCACTCTCCTCCCTCCTATCTCCCCCTCACTCTCCTCTCTCCTCCTCGCTCTCCTCTCTCCCCCCCCTCTCCCCCTCTCTCCTCTCTCCTCCTCACTCTCCTCTCTCCCCTCTGCTCCTCACTCTCCCCTCTCCTCCTCACTCTCCTCTCTCCTCCTCGCTCTCCTCTCTCCCCTCACTCTCCTCTCTCCCCTCTCCTCCTCACTCTCCTATCTCCCCCTCACTCTCCTCTCTCCCCTCTCCTCCTCACTCTCCTATCTCCCCCTCACTCTCCTCTCTCCCCTCTCCTCCTCACTCTCCTATCTCCCCCTCACTCTCCTCCTCTCTCCCCTCACTCTCCTCTCTCCTCTTCACTCTCCTCTCTCCTCCTCGCTCTCCTCTCTCCCCTCTGCTCCTCACTCTCCCCTCTCCCCCGAATCCCGGTCGGACCAGGGCCTTTCTGAGTGGAGTTTGCATGTTCTCCCTGTGTCTGCGTAGGTTTCCTCCGGGTACTCCGGTTTTCCCTACCGCTAAAAATATGTACAATAGGTCTGGCATGTGCTTCCTGTACTGGCAACCCCGCTCCCATCTCTGTGTGGAGTGAGAGGCAAATGCCCAAAAATTAACAATTGTAAACCGCTTTGAGACTCAGGTCTGCAGTGAAAAGGCGGTAAATGATTACTTACTTACTTACTTACTCTCCTCTCTCTCCTCTCCTCCTCACTCTCCTCTCTTCTCCTCTCTCCCCTCTGCTTCTCTCCTCCTCGCTCTCCTCCTTCCCCTCTCCTCCTCACTCTCCTCTCTCCCCCTCACTCCTCTCTCCTCCTCACTCTCCCCTCACTCTCCTCTCTCCCCTCACTCTCCTCCCTCCTCCTCCTCACTCTCCTCTCTCCCCTCTGCTTCTCTCCTCCTCACTATCCTCCCTCCCCTCTCCTCCTCACTCTCCTCTCTCCCCTCACTCCTCTCTCCTCCTCACTCTCCCTCACTCTCCTCTCTCCCCTCACTCTCCTCTCTCCCCTCACTCTCCTCCCTCCCCTCTCCTCCTCACTCTCCTCTCTCCCCTCTGCTTCTCTCCTCCTCACTATCCTCCCTCCCCTCTCCTCCTCACTCTCCTCTCTCCCCCTCACTCCTCCTCTCCTCTCCTCACTCTCCCCTCACTCTCCTCTCTCCCCTCACTCTCCTCCCTCCCCTCTCCTCCTCACTCTCCTCTCTCCCCTCTGCTTCTCTCCTCCTCGCTCTCTCCCTCCCCTCTCCTCCTCTCTCTCCTCTCTCCATTCAATTCACATCAATTTATTTTTGTTTAGCCCTAAAACATTTATAATTATCTCAGAGGACTTTACAAAACTGTCAAATTCGCCAACACAGATCAGAAAATCAAACAGTTCAAACACAAGAAATTCAATGATAAAAATTGCATGAAAACATGGGTCTATAAGAGTTGGGTGACCAAAGAATGATAAATGTTGCTAAAGTCCTCCCCTCTCCTCTTCTGTACGCAGCTGGTACTTTGGAAAACTGGGCCGGAAGGATGCAGAGAGGCAGCTCCTGTCCAACGGCAACGCTCGGGGCACCTTCCTGATCCGAGAGAGCGAGACCACCAAAGGTATAAACACCCTCAAGCAGCGCTGCCACAGTTACTTTGGAAAGTCATCCCGTCACTGACTACGCCTTTAAAAGTCACTCAGTTACTTTACAGATTACTTGATTAGAAAAGTAACTACTCGTACAATAGATTATTATGAGTAGTTGTTTTGTTTTGGTGGATGTAGTGAAAGAGTGAAACAAAGCTTGGGCCTCGGAGCTGTGTGTCTGGTGCAAACAGGTTGGAGTGGGAAGACGACAAACTTGTTACGTGCCAAAAACCAAACGGCCAAATGGAAAAAGCAGCAAAAGCAGCAGTAGTACTGTATTGGAAAACAAGAACCGGCACTTGTTTGCCATAAGAATTGCCAAAAAATGTACAATTGGCTTTTTTTTTTTTTATTAATCCGACTTGATGAAATAGCTTTACTTGTTTTCCTCTGTTTTCATTGGCTGATTGGCCGTAGCCTCATCCACAGAGCACAAAAAACATGGGAAATTTGACATGGGGACACAGGCTGGTGAGTCGCCTTGTAACTTAGAACTTTTGACGAGGTGTAGTATAGTAATGGTAGTATATGTATAATACTGCGATTCTCTATGGATCTGAGTATGCTATGAATTTAATAGACTAAGTTGGAAGTTTGATTTGACCAGTTCTGTTCCTGTTCCGCAGGGCCTTCATCCCCACTGCTGTCAGACTGTACAATAAGTCACTTATAAAACCCTGCACTACTATTGCCACTGTTTCTTAATTGCCCCTTTTATTGTACATAATATATCCTGCATTTAGCATGTTTGCACACTTCTTTCTTTGCACAATATCTTTTTCTTCTTGAGTGATTCTATCCATGCCAGATGTGACATGTACATTTCTCCTGTGTGAGATCAATAAAGTCAATCTTATCTTATCTTAAATATAGTCGTAATCCCGGTAATAGCCTTCTGTCTGTCTTCCCTCAGGGGCCTACTCTCTGTCCATCCAAGACTGGGACGACATCAAAGGAGACCACGTGAAGCATTACAAAATCCGCAAGCTGGACAACGGAGGCTACTACATCACCACCAGAGCCCAGTTTGAGACCCTGCAGCAGCTGGTGCAGCACTACTCCGGTCAGAGCCTCCTCCAGATCCAACCCCACATTCACAATATCCTCAGTGTATAGTTTCAGTGGCTTTCTAACTTCTGCTGATGCGGCTCAAGAATAGTGACAGTTTTTATTAATCTACAAAAGAAATGGCTCATACTTTCAATGACAGATAATTAGCTGTGGAGACTTCCTTTTAAGTGACCCAACCGGATAATTAAATATTAGAATTGACTGTCTTACATTTGCCCTATACTGAAACAATGCCACACCTCAAAAGCATGGAAACAGAATGGCAATTATAAAAGATTATGAAAAGTTCACACTGGAAATTGTTTTGAGGCAGATTAAACAAGTCAATCTGACACTCTCATGTAAGCAATCAAATCTACCCCAGTCCAAGATAGTGAAATAATACCAGAATTCATGTCCTTTAAATCACTTTATTATTCATACATTTGGTTTGTCTCAGCAGAATTAGTGCAAAAGTTCCAAAAGTAAAATGTTGTGAACAAATCAGACCACAACAGTCTGTCTTCATTATGTTATCTATATCTATCAAGAAAGAACCCTAGAGTCACTATTTGACGCTTCAGGCTGAGAGATGATTGGCTGAGAGAGGGTGGTCCCATCTTTTTGCCTTTTCTGCCTGCAAAAAGTAGATCTAAATTTCTGAGAGAGGCCAAAAATGTGAAAGAGCTCTGGTGTGTACTATCCTGGTGCACACTGGGGTAGTCTTGCACAGTTATTCCAATGTGGTTTCACTGCATATGGCAAATTAACTTTATCTTAAATCTTGAAACTAGTGACAGAACCAAACCAAGATTTTGTTGTGTTTTGCTGTAGGTACCTCAGCTTTAAACATGACTGGATATGACATTTTGCTGCGTAATTGCACGTGAACCTGACCTCCGGCTTTTCCTTTGCAGCCCGGGCCGCGGGGCTGTGCTGCAGACTCATCGTCCCCTGTAACAAAGGCATGCCCCGCCTCACTGACCTGTCCGTCAAAACCAAAGACGTGTGGGAGATCCCTCGCGAGTCTCTGCAGCTCATCAAGCGACTCGGCAACGGCCAGTTTGGAGAAGTCTGGATGGGTGCGTACTCTCTGGGGAAAAATCACAAATGAGAGAGATTATTGGGTTAATCAGTCATCAATAGAAGCAAAATCAAGTAATTTCCATTGAATAGGTTGTGTATCTGTGACATCACATCATTCAAAAGAGACTACTATTTCAAGATTGTGGAGGACGGGTGAAAAATAGTTCCTGGTAACTATGGTAACTCTAGTCTTAGTTTTGTGTTTAGTTTGTTGTTTTGACCAGTAGGCAATACATAGGGATGACAGTGGGGCAGCAGCGACTGTAAAGTTCCAAACCGTTGTTGTTGTTGTTGTGTCCTGAGGCGAGACACTGGTTGCCTTGCTTCTGTCTGTCTGCCCCAGGACAGCTGTGGCTACAGTAGAGTGAATGAAAGTTGACTCAATGTAAGAGGATAAATGTGGAATATTTATTGTATTTTTTGCATTAGCAGGTTTTTAAACATGTTTGTATACCGCTGTGTACTACTGCCACATGCACACAGAGACACATACACACACACACATACACAGGGAGGCTGTGCTAACATACTCTGCATGTTGGGTCATCTGCAGCTAACACCCAGATTCTGTTACCGACAATCACACAATGCAGCAGTTCTGTAGACTTCAGCACCGCTCCGGCCTCCACGGCTCTGGGGGTGGTTCACAACAAGTGTAGTGAGTATTAGCAGAGATTGTATCAGTGTTGTGTTACCAGGAGTGTTGAGTTCTGTTTGGTATTCCATGTTTACGACCAGGACTAGTGTATTTTGAGAGGCCTCTTGGCGTGACCAGTTTTACAATATCAGTCCAGGTTGTAGAGGATGTGGAGGATGAGGGTTATGATCAGTTTGGATGTGGGCCAAATCAGGAGAGATGTATATAAGGGAACAGAAGCAGATAACAAATTGTGGAATGAATTAGGGTGACAGTAGATCAGTTGGTAGAGCCTGTAGGTTGTGGGTTCGAGTCCACCACAAGACTTTCTCCACCAACCCCCACTGATGTCTGCTGTGGTTGTGTCCTTGGCAAGACACTTAACCTCTGGGAACACCTGATGCCACAGTGGGGCGGCTGCGGCTGTAAAGTGCCAAACTGCCGTTGTGTCCTTAGGCAAGACACTCCACCCCCATTGCCTAGAATGAGTCTGGTGTGTGTGTGAATGGTTGGTGGTGGTGGAGGGGACGCTGGTACACACTGGTTGCCTCGCTTCTGTCAGTGTGCCTCAGGGCAGCTGTGGCTACAGTAATAGTTTATCACCACCGTGTATGGAGTGAAAGAATAATAACATGTGAAGCGCCTTTGAGTGTCCAGAAAAGCACTGTATAAAATGAATGCATTATTATTATTATTATAAAACAGTTTGTGAGTAGGTTTTTCAGTTTCCCTCCAACACTGTTTTAAATTATTGGCTCTTTGGAAGGATTTGATGTCACATGAACGTAACTTGTTGATCGTGGTCGACTTTTGTCGACCAAGAACAGTCTTAGACGTTTCCTTCGAAAGTCTCAACACTGTGTTTCGCAAGTACTATGATTCTCAACATGCATGCCGCGTACGCTTCTGCTGCAGGCACGTGGAACGGCACGACCAAAGTGGCGGTGAAGACGCTGAAGCCGGGCACCATGTCTCCGGAGTCCTTCCTGGAGGAGGCGCAGATCATGAAGAAGCTGCGGCACGACAAACTGGTGCAGCTCTACGCCGTGGTGTCGGAGGAGCCCATCTACATCGTCACAGAATATATGAGCAAAGGTACAGTCCCTGTGAATGCTACATGTGTACTGGTACTGCCAATACACTTATTATCACTGTCACTGTGGCCATACCTGAATGTGGAAGCCAGATTCTGTCAAACCTCTGAAGCTAAGCAGAGGAAGGTCTGGTTAGTACTGTGATGGGAGACCTCTGGTAACACCAGGTGCCACAGTGGGGCGGCTGCGGCTGTAAAGTGCCAAACTGTTGTAGTGTCCTTAGGCAAGACACTTCACCCACATTGCCTAGAATGAGTCTGTGTGTGTGTGAATGGTTGGTGGCGGTCAGAGAGGCCGATGGCACATACTGGTTGCCTCGTGTCTGTCAGTGTGCCCCAGGGCAGCTGTGGCTACAGTAGTAGTTTACCACCACAGTGTATGGAGTGAATAAATAATGACACATGAAACATCTTTGAGTGTCCAAAAAGCGCAAAATAAAACCAATGCATACAGTTTATTATTGAATCATTATTATTCACCTACCCAAGCATTGATATTTAACATATGGTAAAAGTCTTCAAGTTAAATGGTATGAACAAATCAGACCACAATTCGCAGTCACATTGTATTAGAAAACATGTTATCTTTTGCGTACATGTAAAAAAAGAGAATCACTATTTGACGAGTGATGGTGGTCCTATCTTTTTAATGCTTCAGACTAATGAAGTGACAGAGGCCATTAATACACAAATGTGAAAACTAGTGATAGAACTGGAGAGGGTCTGAGTGGATGCCACATAAAGCCTAGTCCCATGTTTGAAGCCTTTGTGGAACAAGGCGTGAGGTGAATGTGCGTCTGCTGCTCAGGTTATTTTGAGGCGCCTTGAAACACCACCTCTGCTCCGGCTTTTGGAGATAAGGCTTTGCATATTCAGCCCCAAATTTCCTGTAGCACTGAAAAATCCTGTTTACTCCATATGTAGAGATTTAGCAGGAAGGATTTTGTCGGATGTTTTGTGAGGGGTTGGGGTGAGTTCACATGCAACATCAGTCGCTATAATAATCTCATTATGTATTTTGGTTTTAGGAAGTTTGCTGGACTTCTTGAAGGACGGAGAGGGACGGGGACTCAAGCTTCCAAACCTGGTGGACATGGCCGCTCAGGTATTTCCAAAGAGCATTGTTTGTAATCCTTAGAGTCCACATATAATAGAGCCAGACTAAAAGGGCGTTCACACCAGACTCAACTTCGACTTCAGAAGCGTCAGGTTTACATTGAAAATGAATAGTTTTCGCTCGCGTCTCTTTTGGCATAAAAAATCCCTTGAGTTGAGAAAAGCTGAGCTTTTCGAGCTTCGTGCTGGCCGTCATGAGGAGGAGCAGCAGCAGTAGCAGCAGGGCTGTCAAGGAAAGAAGTCATGTAGCTGCTGCTTTGCTGTTTTGTTGTCATTATTAGCTATATTATTTGTTTGAGTAGTAACGTTCTTAATAAGTAAGTCACAAAATCAATGTACACATGCTGTGAAGTAAAAGTAATTTATTTAAAATAAGAACAAGCTGACGCTGAGTCTGGCTCAGACACAGCAGACTGCTGGACAGCAGACGTATAGACAGGCGCTCCTCCGCGGGAATCGATGCGAGCTCCAGGCGGGTGGTGCGTGTACTCAAACTGGGCGAGTGACGTGCGAAAGTGCCACTGAAAGCGAAAATCATCCGTACGCAGCTCCTGGAGTAATGGGTGAAAGTCAGCAAACACTGCAGCCTCTCAAGTCTGCTCTCTGGAAATCCGCCGTTGTTTCTGGACTACCGGCAACAGAGAAGCTCCTCCCACCGGGCGTCAGGGGCGTCAGGCGCATCAAGCGCGTCAGGAGCGTCAAGCACCAAAATGACAAAAACAAATCAGCGTCAAACAAAGGCGTTTTGGAGCTTTTGGTGTGAACACAGCTTAAGATATAATTTATATTACACACTTCTTTAGTAATTATCCATTAGCACCTAATAATAGATAAGTGTGCATAAGTGAAAGGTGTCTCGCCTTTTTGGTGCTGGTGCAAAGAGAACTGCATATAAGCCAAAAATGAATATATGAGTATGTGGAAATCATGTCTTTATCACTAAACATCATTATTGTTTCCTCATCACACACACACCTGAAATTGAGCATTTCTAATCTCCTTACTACCCCTCCCTTCTCACAAAACACTCTGTTCTGAATCTTTCCGATCTGTTACATCATAAACAGAGCTGTGAAAAGCTTCTCTGTTCTGTAAAAAAAACACATCGTCTCTATAACTCTCCATATTTCTTCTAACTGTTGTAGTGTTACTTGTAAAACCACTCTTGGTATTTCTTGGGTGTTTTAATTATCAGTAGACGATAGCGGTGACCTTCGTGTCATCTGCGGGACGTTGGTGAAATGTTTCGACGGTGTTAGTTTAACACATACATCGAGACTGAAGTCTGATTTCACCCATCCTAGATCTTTTCAGAATCAGAATTACTTTTATTGTCATTGTAAGTAACAAGTCACTAACTATGAATTTGCTTTGGAATATGGTGCAAATAAGAAATAAAATAATAATAAAATAAAAAAATCAAATACTGATTTTAAATGGGCAGCATGGTGGTGCAGTGGTTAGTGCTTGTGCTTCTCACAAGAGTGTTATGGTCTCACATCACTCTATGACTCTATAGATAGATAGATGGCTAGAGACTTACTGTAGTTGTTGTTCTGGGCATGTTTTGAACCCCTTCACCGCTGTGGGCAGGTGGCGGCGGGCATGGCCTACATCGAGAGAATGAACTACATCCACAGAGACCTGCGCTCGGCCAACATCCTGGTGGGGGACAGCCTGGTGTGCAAGATCGCAGACTTCGGACTGGCCCGGCTCATCGAGGACAACGAGTACACCGCCAGACAGGGTAAAAAGGGCCAAAAAAAAGCATGATGTCTTAGGGTTCGGAACGTTCTGAAAGTTGTAGGAGTCTGGTGGTGGTTTTGTCTCCTCCCCACACAGCGAGAGAGCGGGTGCCACTGATTTAACTCTAATCAATCTCCAGATTTCCGCTGGAGTAACACTAGATACACGTTGGAGCAAGGATCAATGCTACAAGAATGACATAAGCAGGACAGCGTAAACATAACAGCTCCCTCGTTGGAAGGTATACAGGAGGGTGGATCATCGAGACTATTAGTCCTCCTTATTGTCAATCATTCTGGTGATACGTCAAATAAGACCAGAGAGTTTTGCTCAAAAAATGGAGAGGGCAGTTATTTTCTAAAATTTGGGAAAATCCTCCTACACACCTTTAAGTCTCATCCCTAGACCCACTTTTACTCTCTGGCTTTTAACACAGCGTGTTTGTTTTATGTTTATTTATATTAATTTATATAGATAATTGTTTTTATTTTATTTTCATTTTATTTAAAGCTGGCCTGGTAGACTTGTATATTTTTAGGTGTTAATTTTATCCGTGCAGCACTTTGGAAAAATAAATATTCTATATAAACAAAGTGGATTGGACATACAACACATTTTAAAGAAAAAAACCTTAACATTTCTTAAAACTAGTATAAAATCTTGTGGTGCAATAAACTCTATCAATGTTATACAATGTTTTTTATACAAGATTAACTGTAGCTTGTTGTCCAAAAAGAGCATTCTTAAAGCATCATTGTGATGGTGAAGTTGATTCTAAACTAGTGCGATTGAACTCTGCGGCGGTCGGTTGGAACGAGATTGTGGATCTTTGGAAAAAGCAGTTTTATGTGTAAAAGCATAAGATGACTGCAGGGTTTTATAGAAAGACAAAATAAAAATCCAAGGCGCATTTTCTTGGAAACTACTCAAAAGGCCTTTATTACAACATGGCTATAATTTCAAATATGCACCAACAATCCGCTCGCCTGCACTCTGCTGTTGTGTCCTTGGGCTAGACACTTCTCTGGGGCCGTGTGAATGGGCTCATTGATGTAAAGCCAGGGTCTCCAACCTTTCCCCTGAAGAGCTGCTTTTTCAGGATACAAAATGGGAGTGAGCTAATTTGTTAGGCAGCAGAAAGAAATCTAACAACAAGCAAATGGAAATAACATGTGAAAGAATTATGGGTTTGAATGAATGATTTTTATCTTTTAATTCTAGAACAATACGAGGAAATCTCAAAGTATGACCCAGTCTTGCTCTTTCAGCTGGGGCGTCAGGCAAAGTGGCGTTAAGTGTCTTGCTCAGTGACAAAGCAAAGCAGCAGGCATCAGTGGTAGAGTAGCTGACTTGAGTTGTGGGCATATCAAACCCCCAGCCATTAGGTTCAAATCCCAAAGCTCTATCAACTGAGCCACTGTCGCTGTTAAATGTACGACCCGATACTTTGATTTGTCTGACTTTAAATGTGTTTCGGTTCGATGCCTTCTGAGAAAACAAAGCAGGCGATTACAATAGTTGCAGCCCGTAAATGATAATAAAATTAGAGTAATTATAGACTCAAAATCCTTTCTGTGTGTAGTTTGCATGTTCTCCGTGTGTCGCCGTAGGTTTCCTCCAGGTGCTCTGGTTTCCCCTAACACTAAAACATGTACAGTTGGTGAGAGTTGAATGAGTGTGTGTTTGTGAGTGCGACTCTGGGACTAGAGATGCAAATTCGATACATAACTGTAATCTGCAATGTGGCCATACGTGCATGCGAAAGCCAGAGACCTCTAAAGCTGTGTAGGGCAGGGTCTGGTTAGTACTGTGATGGGAGACTTCTGGGAAAGCAAAACTGTGGTTGTGTCCTTAAGCAAGACACTTCACCCACATTGCCTTGAATGAGTCTGGTGTGTGTGTGAATGGCTGTTCGAGGTTGGAGGGGCTGATGGTACATACTGGTTGCCTCACTTCTGTCTGAGTGAAAGAATTATGGATTATGGATAACAGATTAAACATGTAAAATAGAGTGGTTTAACAGGATTATGCCCAGTATGCCTTGCCATTACAGATGATTACAAATAATTTTGCCAATGTCAAATTCTACTTTTGAATTCTGACCTGCCTCTCTGGGTTCTTTCACCATAATGTAAATGTAAGTGTTTCCTGCTCTGAGCGCCTGGGCCTGCAGACGGGGCCTTTACGAGCACAAATGCAGTGGAAAACAGAAGAGCTTGTGGTCACAGCGTGGCACACAGAATCACACACACGGTCCACATTTAGACGCAGCAAAGTACAGGACGCAGGCGATGGAATGTGCACAGGCCAGGGAGGACGCAGGGCAGAGGCTGGAGACATGAGAGAGACATGGGGCAGACATGAGAGATACTTGAGAGAGGCGTGAGAGACGTGGGAGAGACGTGAGAGAGACGTGGGAGAGACGTGAGAGAGACGTGAGAGAGACATCAGAGAGACGTGAGAGAGACGTGGGAGAGACGTGAGAGAGACGTGAGAGAGACATCAGAGAGACGTGGGAGAGACGTGAGAGAGACGTGAGAGAGACGTGAGAGAGACGTGGGAGAGACGTGAGAGAGACGTGAGAGAGACGTGCGAGAGACGTGCGAGAGACGTGTGAGAGACGTGGGAGAGACTTGAGAGAGTCGTGGAGAGACGTGAGAGAGACGTGAGAGAGACGTGGGAGAGACGTGGGAGAGACGTGGGAGAGACGTGAGAGAGACGTGAGAGAGACGTGAGAGAGACGTGGGAGAGACGTGGGAGAGACGTGGGAGAGACGTGAGAGAGACGTGGGAGAGACGTGGGAGAGACGTGGAGAGACGTGAGGAGAGACGTGAGAGAGACGTGCGAGAGAGACGTGGGAGAGACGTGCGAGAGACGTGCGAGAGACGTGCGAGAGACGTGAGAGAGACGTGGAGAGACGTGGGAGAGACGTGGGAGAGACGTGAGAGAGACTTGAGAGAGACGTGGGAGAGACGTGAGAGAGACGTTGAGAGAGTGCGTGAGAGACGTGGGAGAGACTTGAGAGAGACGTGAGAGAGACGTGAGAGAGACGTGAGAGAGAGACGTGAGAGAGACGTGGGAGAGACGTGAGAGAGACGTGAGAGAGACGTGGGAGAGACGTGGGAGAGACGTGAGAGAGACGTGAGAGAGACGTGAGAGAGACGTGGGAGAGACGTGAGAGAGACGTGAGAGAGACGTGCGAGAGACGTGAGAGAGACGTGAGAGACGACTGAGAGAGACGTGGAGAGACGTGAGAGAGACGTGGGAGAGACGTGAGAGAGACGTGCGAGAGACGTGAGAGACGTGAGAGAGACGTGAGAGAGACGTGGGAGAGACGTGCGAGAGACGTGGAGAGACGTGAGAGAGGGAGACGTGGGAGAGACGTGGGAGAGACGTGGGAGAGACGTGGGAAGTGAGACGTGAGAGACGTGCGAGAGACGTGCGAGAGACGTGAGAGAGACGTGAGAGAGACGTGGGAGAGACGTGGGAGAGACGAGAGAGACGAGAGAGACGTGCGAGAGACGTGAGAGAGACGTGAGACGTGAGAGACGTGAGAGAGACTGAGAGAGACGTGAGAGAGACGTGAGAGAGACGTGAGAGAGACGTGGAGAGACGTGAGAGAGACGTGAGAGAGACGTGGGAGAGACGTGAGAGAGACGTGAGAGAGACGTGGAGAGAGACGTGGGAGAGACGTGAGAGAGACGTGAGAGAGACGTGGGAGAGACGTGAGAGAGACGTGGGAGAGACGTGAGAGAGACGTGAGAGAGACGTGAGAGAGACGTGCGAGAGACGTGGGAGAGACGTGGGAGAGACGTGCGAGAGACGTGCGAGAGACGTGAGAGAGACGTGCGAGAGACGTGCGAGAGACGTGAGAGAGACGTGAGAGAGAGACGTGGGAGAGACGTGGAGAGACGTGCGAGAGACGTGGGAGAGACGTGCGAGAGACGTGAGAGAGACGTGAGAGAGACGTGGGAGAGACGTGGGAGAGACGTGGAGAGACTGGAGAGACGTGAGAGAGACGTGAGAGAGACGTGGGAGAGACGTGGGAGAGACGTGGGAGAGACGTGGAGAGACGTGGGAGAGACGTGAGAGAGTGACGTGAGACGTGGAGAGACGTGGAGAGACGTGGGAGAGACGTGGGAGAGACGTGCGAGAGACGTGGAGAGACGTGAGAGAGACGTGAGAGAGACGTGGAGAGAGACGTGGGAGAGACGTGAGAGACGTGGGAGAGACGTGAGAGAGAGACGTGGAGAGACGTGGGAGAGACGTGAGAGAGACGTGAGAGAGACGTGAGAGAGACGTGGAGAGAGACGTGAGAGAGACGTGAGAGAGACGTGCGAGAGACGTGAGAGAGACGTGAGAGAGACGTGCGAGAGACGTGAGAGAGACGTGAGAGACGTGAGAGAGACGTGAGAGACGTGAGAGAGACGTGAGAGAGACGTGCGAGAGACGTGTGGAGAGACGTGAGAGAGACGTGAGAGAGACGTGGGAGAGACGTGGAGAGACGTGGGAGAGACGTGGAGAGACGTGGAGAGACGTGGGAGAGACGTGCGAGAGACGTGGGAGAGACGTGCGAGAGACGTGAGAGAGAGACGTGAGAGAGACGTGGGAGAGACGTGGGAGAGACGTGGGAGAGACGTGGGAGAGACGTGAGAGAGACGTGAGAGAGACGTGAGAGAGACGTGCGAGAGACGTGCGAGAGACGTGGGAGAGACGTGGGAGAGACGTGCGAGAGACGTGGGAGAGACGTGAGAGAGACGTGAGAGAGACGTGCGAGAGACGTGGGAGAGACGTGCGAGAGACGTGCGAGAGACGTGCGAGAGACGTGAGAGAGACGTGCGAGAGACGTGAGAGAGACGTGCGAGAGACGTGAGAGAGACGTGAGAGAGACGTGGGAGAGACGTGAGAGAGACGTGAGAGAGACGTGCGAGAGACGTGGGAGAGACGTGGGAGAGACGTGCGAGAGACGTGCGAGAGACGTGAGAGAGACGTGAGAGAGACGTGAGAGAGACGTGGGAGAGACGTGGGAGAGACGTGGGAGAGACGTGGGAGAGACGTGCGAGAGACGTGCGAGAGACGTGAGAGAGACGTGAGAGAGACGTGGGAGAGACGTGAGAGAGACGTGGGAGAGACGTGGGAGAGACGTGAGAGAGACGTGGGAGAGACGTGAGAGAGACGTGAGAGAGACGTGAGAGAGACGTGGGAGAGACGTGAGAGAGACGTGGGAGAGACGTGAGAGAGACGTGGGAGAGACGTGCGAGAGACGTGAGAGAGACGTGCGAGAGACGTGAGAGAGACGTGAGAGAGACGTGAGAGAGACGTGGAGAGAGACGTGCGAGAGACGTGAGAGAGACGTGAGAGAGACGTGCAGAGACGTGAGAGAGACGTGGGAGAGACGTGGGAGAGACGTGAGAGAGACGTGAGAGAGACGTGAGAGAGACGTGGGAGAGACGTGGGAGAGACGTGAGAGAGACGTGGAGAGACGTGCGAGAGACGTGAGAGAGACGTGAGAGAGACGTGGGAGAGACGTGAGAGAGACGTGGGAGAGACGTGAGAGAGACGTGGGAGAGACGTGAGAGAGACGTGAGAGAGACGTGGAGAGAGACGTGAGAGAGACGTGGGAGAGACGTGGGAGAGACGTGGGAGAGACGTGAGAGAGACGTGGGAGAGACGTGGAGAGACGTGAGAGACGTGAGAGAGACGTGGGAGAGACGTGAGAGAGACGTGCGAGAGACGTGGAGAGACGTGGAGAGACGTGGGAGAGACGTGGGAGAGACGTGAGAGAGACGTGAGAGAGACGTGCGAGAGACGTGGGAGAGACGTGAGAGACGTGGGAGAGACGTGCGAGAGACGTGGGAGAGACGTGCGAGAGACGTGAGGAGAGACGTGCTGAGAGACGTGGGAGAGACGTGCGAGAGACGTGGAGAGACGTGAGAGAGACGTGAGAGAGACGTGAGAGAGACGTGAGAGAGACGTGGGAGAGACGTGGGAGAGACGTGGAGAGAGACGTGGGAGAGACGTGAGAGAGACGTGGAGAGAGACGTGCGAGAGACGTGAGAGAGACGTGCGAGAGACGTGGGAGAGAGACGTGGAGAGACGTGCGAGAGACGTGAGAGAGACGTGGAGAGAGACGTGGAGAGACGTGGAGAGACGTGGGAGAGACGTGAGAGAGAGACGTGGAGAGACGTGAGAGAGACGTGGGAGAGACGTGAGAGAGACGTGGAGAGACGTGAGAGAGACGTGCGAGAGACGTGAGAGAGACGTGAGAGACGTGAGAGAGACGTGAGAGAGACGTGAGAGAGACGTGGGTAGAGACGTGGAGAGACGTGAGAGAGACGTGAGAGAGACGTGGGAGAGACGTGAGAGAGACGTGAGAGAGACGTGCGAGAGACGTGAGAGAGACGTGCGAGAGACGTGGGAGAGACGTGGAGAGACGTGAGAGACGTCGTGGACGTGAGAGAGACGTGAGAGAGACGTGCGAGAGACGTGAGAGAGACGTGAGAGAGAGACGTGGGAGAGACGTGGGAGAGACGTGGGAGAGACGTGGAGAGAGACGTGCGAGAGACGTGGGAGAGACGTGGGAGAGACGTGCGAGAGACGTGGAGAGACGTGCGAGAGACGTGAGAGAGACGTGCGAGAGAGTGGAGAGACGTGAGAGAGACGTGAGAGAGACGTGCGAGAGACGTGAGAGAGACGTGAGAGAGACGTGCGAGAGACGTGAGAGAGACGTGCGAGAGACGTGGAGAGACTGTGAGAGACGTGCGAGAGACGTGAGAGAGACGTGAGAGAGACGTGCGAGAGACGTGAGAGAGACGTGCGAGAGACGTGCGAGAGACGTGGGAGAGACGTGGGAGAGACGTGGGAGAGACGTGAGAGAGACGTGAGAGAGACGTGGGAGAGACGTGAGAGAGACGTGGGAGAGACGTGGGAGAGACGTGGGAGAGACGTGAGAGAGACGTGGGAGAGACGTGAGAGAGACGTGAGAGAGACGTGGGAGAGACGTGAGAGAGACGTGAGAGAGACGTGAGAGAGACGTGGGAGAGACGTGAGAGAGACGTGAGAGAGACGTGAGAGAGACGTGAGAGAGACGTGAGAGAGACGTGAGAGAGACGTGGGAGAGACGTGAGAGAGACGTGAGAGAGACGTGAGAGAGACGTGAGAGAGACGTGGGAGAGACGTGAGAGAGACGTGAGAGAGACGTGAGAGAGACGTGGGAGAGACGTGAGAGAGACGTGAGAGAGACGTGAGAGAGACGTGGGAGAGACGTGAGAGAGACGTGAGAGAGACGTGAGTCGCACTCAAGTGACTCAAGTGACTCTGTGGCTGGGAAGCAGCGGAGGCTTATTTGTAATAATAACAAAGAGAAACCTGTCGATCTTATATTGTGAGCAGGTTAAACTTTCTCTGTCTGTCTATGGTCTGGACACAAAAACAAAGTACCGGTAACTAGAAAGGCTTCTTGTTTTGCAGGAGCTAAGTTTCCCATCAAGTGGACGGCCCCGGAGGCTGCGCTCTACGGGAAGTTCACCATCAAGTCGGACGTGTGGTCGTTCGGGATCCTGCTGACGGAGCTGGTGACCAAAGGACGAGTGCCCTATCCAGGTACGCCCACGGCCCGCAGCCACCTGTCCCAAAGCTCATGTCCAAAATCTACTGTCCCAAACTTTCTGTCCAAAACCTATTCATTCAAACTGATCAAAGATTGTGTTCAAGTGGAGAGACAGCATTTCTCCAGTCCTCAGACGATGGTCCTTCCACAAAGCCAACTGCCCTTCACTTTTCACTCACATAACAACGCACTCTCATGAGAGGGACAATAATCACACAAAAGTTGGGCAAATGATGCTGCATGCTTGATTATAATATAAATAACTTCCTTGTAACATGAAGGACCTCCTCCTGCACACACAATCTTTAGCCTTCAGCCTTCTCGTCGCTGCTACAGGAGCCTCCAGGCCAGGACCAGCAGAGACCAGAGACTCTCCCTCTGTTAAAGCATGTTAGACCCACTTTAATGTAATATAATGTAATTTATGTAGATAGAAGCAATAGCAGCTTCGCACAGTCTCACATACATATATATCTATCTGTGTCGTAAATTATTATCCTATTCTTGGGCTATTGCATAGTTCTGACTTTGCAATGACAATACAGTTGAATATAATCTAATCTCTATTAATGTGCACAATCTTGGCAAAAACAAGTGTTGACAAGATTTAAATGAAAAAGCGTTTTGTCAGACCCGTTATTCTCCTGTTTCAGATGTTTCACCGTGTCGCGTTGTTATAGGGGTTTTCCAGATTTACATTCTTCCTCAATTTCTTTGGGATTCTGCCAAACCGATTACCAACAAATTGCTTGATTTTTTTATTTTTCTTCATAAAAGTGTTTCCTTAAAGATGCAGTCAGTGATTTTTTTCCAGACGCATTTTTTCTAATGTTGTGGGAAAACGTCCCTAAACCCTAAAAGTAGTGCAGATATCATGTGTTTTCAAATAGTAATGGAATTGACCAGATGCCTGTAGTCTCCAAAAATGAATAAAGAATATTTTGGAGCGGGCCGATAAAAATAAACCAATGGGATGCGTTTACCTCCTTCACTCTCCATGTTTCTCGCTAGTGCGCTCCTGAGTTATCGGATTTTCTAAAAACCTAAAAGGGCTGAACAGAAAATGCCAATTTCACTTTGCCGCCCACTCTCCCAGTTGTGACAAAGAAAAGAAAATTCTGGATGTTTGGTTTGGTGGAGAGGTGAGGGGAGGGGGGAGTGGTTTCCAGTTGGCGCTACGGCTAAGCTAACAAAATCGCTTACTGCACCTTTAAATGACCATTGAAATAAACTGTGGTCTTTTGATATTGCATCGGGCCCTAGTTGATCTGACAGTCAAGATTTTCTTGCTGCTTTCTCAGTTATGAATCCTCTATTGTGGGGAATTTACTTGACTTTCCCGTCAGTCCACCTCTTGGTGTTTTTCAATATTTATTGTCAGAATCAGTGCAAACATGATTCTATCTGGATCAGAGCAGACTAGGTTCTCTGTGGGGAGTCTGCTGCAGGAGGCTGTGTGGCTATAAAAGGCCGCCGCAGAAGTTGCATAATGTAGTTTATAGACTGTGCATTATGCAGATGGTCCCAGGTGAATGTGAACACCTGCCACCCTCGTCTTCTCCGCTTTTAGAACATCGACGCGACCACTTTTACATTTCATGCATTAGACACTTGTGAGGCGAGACGTGGAGGATTGGACAGAAGCTGCTATTTTTCAAAGCAGCTGTATTCCAGTAACACAGTATAACTAAGACTGACTCATGGGAGATTTTCCTCACAGCTTGATATGTAGCATAAGTCATAATTGTTCATGTTTTCTTGTTGGTAATGTTTGAATAAAGACCATTCATTTCAAAATTAGACTTTTTAAATATACAGGAGTTGGGCTGGATATGGTACATGATCCAGGACAGGCTGTAGATCCAGGACTGAGACTGTAGATCCAGGACTGAGGCTGTAGATCCAGGACTGAGGCTGTAGATCCAGGACTGAGACTGTAGATCCAGGACTGAGGCTGTAGATCCAGGACTGAGGCTGTAGATCCAGGACTGAGACTGTAGATCCAGGACTGAGGCTGTAGATCCAGGACTGAGGCTGATCAATATTCATCTCAAGATCAAGTATTTACTGTTTTACCCCAATAATTGTCACCAAAAAATATTGCCATTTGATGTTTTACCAAAGTCTTGCAGCCGTTGTGTGTACGGGTGAGATGTTGATGGTCTGAAAGCATCTTCAAGGCAGGGGATTAAAACAAGTTTATGTGTGTAAATGATAAAAGTAATACATAAGTCTCCCATGTCAAGTGATTTTCCTGGTGTGTGTGTGTGTGTGTGTGTGTGTGTGTGTGTGTGTGTGTGTGTGTGTGTGTGCAGGCATGAACAACCGGGAGGTGCTGGAGCAGGTGGAGAGGGGCTACCGCATGCCGTGCCCCCAGGACTGCCCCCCGTCGCTGCACGAGCTCATGGTGCAGTGCTGGAAGAAGGACCCCGAGGAGAGGCCCACCTTCGAGTACCTGCAGGCCTTTCTGGAGGACTACTTCACTGCCACGGAGCCTCAGTACCAGCCGGGGGACAACCTCTGAGCCCAGGCCACTGCTGCCACCGCTGCTACTGCTACTGCTGCAGAGGAGGAGGAGGAGGAGGAAGAGGAGGAGCGAGAGAGAGAGACGGCTACACGCAGGCAGCAGCAGGGCTGAGGCTGAGGTGGGGTTTGGGGGTGAGGAGGGGACGGGGTTGGAGGATGAGGGAGGCTGGGGGAGAGGAAAGATGTTAGATGTGTTTCAAGGTTCAGAGATAAACTGGTGATCAAGAGAAAAATACAGAGAAGAGTAAAAGTAAAAACGGGTCTTGAAAAAACCTGGCAATTATGTGAAAACTGAAAAATACCATATTGCGTTGCGGAAAAGACAAGAGCATCCTCAAAGCAGTTTTGAGTAACGTTTGAAGACATGACAAAGGTTAGCAAGCTACCAATTTGATTATTTTAATTATCCATTTCTATGCTCATTAGTAAACAACAATTACATACACACATTTTTCCATATCCAAAATGTGACTGACTCTCAGACTGAAATGGTGAGGCTGAAGTTTGTAACTTTCTTCTCCGGTTTCAGGGGAAAGAAATGTAAAAATGTTGCTTAACTTTACAATTTTTAACAATACTTGAAAAAATCTGTAGTAGTACATTTTATTATATGACTTGGACCGTACGCGCGCTCTGATTGGCTGATTACCGGTCTGATATTTTCCTATCTCGGACCGTTACCATGACAATTGGTCCGAACAGCGTGTATCACATTTGATATCTTTCCTTGGACCGTTACCATGACAATCTGTCCGCAGCGCGTATCACACAAAACCAAGTCGGACATGAACACACTTCACAAATATCTCAAAAGCATTGGTAAAGACACAGACGAGAGTCATATAATAAAACATTTATTAACCTTGCTTGCTCGGTTAATAAGCCGTTAATAATGTAGATCTTCTGGTCATTACTCACTAGGTAGCTGATTACCCCAAACAAATGGTCGAATTATTTTCTCATAAAGATGATTATAGAAAGGACATTCAGACATAACAATATTAAAATGTGTTTTTTTTCCCCTGATTCAATGCAGAGGGAATAGAAAGGGAGATTATTTTCAATTTACAAAAATGTGTATGCCTATATATTTTGTCAACTATATTAAAACGTTTCTTCTATAGTATTTTTGCTGTGAACTTCCAAAATCACATTATTGATCTCTTGAAACCAGTCAATCTGCACTTGAAACCTCTGCTTCCTAAGCCCCAGACTCTTGGCCCCAGCCCTTCTCTGTGGAAACTGCTTTTTTGCTGCGTGCTTGTCCTTCACCGGCTCCCCAGCAGAGGGCGCCACACTCCACACATCGTATCATCATGTGGATCTCCATTGACTTTGTCCAAGTTTCCATGCACCAAGACTGTAACTTTAACCACAGGAAGATTCAAAGCAGACTGCCATGGATGAAGTTGTATGTAATGTAAATACCAAAATTTGCTTGTTTACTTATCTCTTATTATTATGATTCTTGTTGTTTTATCCCGTTTTTCTTACTTTGATATTCTCAGAAAACCTTTTTGTGTGGATTTTTTTGAATCCGATAAATGACAAACAGCTGGTAGTATGCAGGCAGCGTCCGTGTATGAAGTAGGTGTAGATGGTGGGCTGATTCCCGGGCGTTTCCCTGGAGTCCACCAAACCTTTTTTACAACTTAATTTAACAATACTGCTACACTGTCCAAAGGATCTCTGCAGGCACCAACGTCACCTCCCACTCCCGCCTCAATATGTACCAACGTTTCTACCATTGTGTACTTTTCTGATTTGGAAACTTTATTATGCCATGGATTGCAAGGATCGTAAAGGTACAATTTCAGTCAAACAACAAAACAACTACATTTTAACATCGCTCATGATTTAAAATGGGAGTCCCACAAAAAAATCTTTCTTTTCTTGATACAATTTTGCTTTGAAATCAAATCAATTCTTTGTTTTTCTTAAGTTTAGTTATCTCTGAGGACTATACAAAGCTATCGATTCACCAACACAGAATCACACCAATCAAATTCAGGAAATGCAGAAATAAAAAACAGCCATTGGTTCATAAGGGGCAGCTGACCAATGTCCATAAATCTTAAATTCCAAATCATTTTCCTGATTTCAGAATGACATTTGTTGAAATGAAATACTTCAAGTACTTAAAATGACTAAATGGATTGGCCAGCTCTTTCCCCATTGGTTTAACAAGTCTTCTCCAGAATATGTAAGTGATATTTGTGTCCAATGTGAGGGACGAGTATTTTAAAGTACTTTACATCCATGTGCTTGGCCAGGTGGTCAAAAATATGCATTCTCATCAGTAAACCTATTTGCCATCTGGTCATTTCCATGGTTACGGCGGGTTAAACAAATGTTCTTGACGATTACTATTTCTTCATTCGCTGAACAGACGCCTGTAGCTGATTACAGATAAAACTCTGCTCGCAGCTGGATCCAAGCTGCGAGCTTACATGTATTACATGTGACTGTAATGAACTCGATAACGTTGTCAAGAACATTTGTTTTTCCCTCCGTAACTATGGAAATGATCACGTCCTGAAGAGGTGTAGTTACTGAGATCACCTTTAACACTATGCTCCTCATTTTGACTGACTCCCATTTATGTTTTTTTGTTGTTGCGTTTTTCATTTTCAATAAGTGCTAAAACTGTTGAATAAAACTAGAAATACAGAAAAACTTTTGTTAAGAGGCTAACTGTTAAAAGTAAACTGTGTTGCTATGGTAAAAGCCCTTGATATCCTGAAAATGACTGAAAGCTACTACATATAGAAGCAGTAAAAGTCACAAAGTTATGAAGATTACAAATGTATAAAAGAGCTGAGTAATTACGCTTCAAGCCGTCAATTTGACTGCTCTGGGAGTTCTAGTGCAAATTGATTTGATGATCCAAATAGTGGATTTGAAATCAGAGCCTGACTAAAGCCGGCTGGAATGAAGAGTGGATTAAACGGAAAGTGCAGTCATCTTGAGATAGAACACAGAGGGATGATTCTCAGGCGGTGGAGCGGGACCGAAGCCGCAGACGTTTGGACAGTGTAACCTCTTCTCAAGGAGCTGTATGATAACACCTGTTCTTGCCTTTTCATCTTTAGTGATATTCTTCTAATATAAGGAATGCCTTCATGCTTTACACACTAACTCTAACAGGCCTATAGCGGACCACGGACTCCCACCCCCTGTTACCGCGCCATCAGCTTCAGCCGCTCATTTCCTTTTCAAACTTTATATATTTTTTCTAATTATTGCTTTGGTTTTAACCCGGCAGTTCAGCGATATGTGAACAGCCCGAATGGCAGTGGGAGAACCGGTCTGAACGAGACGAACGCTCACGTGAAGGACTCTGCTCTCCACCAGGTTTAGAAGTTGAAGAGGCCGCACATTTCATTTTATTTTTGTTGAAAATCCGACGGCGCGTTCACAGAGAGAATTGGATATAGTCATTTTTCATGGAGGTGAATTATAGAATCTGAAAAATGTTTTAATACAGGGGCCCCAACCTTCACACAACTAAGAGAGAAAAAGGACTTTTATGGACCGAAGACTTTTTAACTTTAGGTTCATTGTACACCAGTTAATTAACATTTTAACTCAATAGTAAACCATTTTTTAAGTAAACTCTGTTGAACAATTTTGCAAGTTTGAACAATCTCAAAATCTTTGAAAACAATTTATAAAGTAAAGTCTGAAATGTCCTGTTTGAACAATGAATCCATTTTCAGATCTATTCAAATACAAATAGTTCCTTCTGGCCACACACGAAAAGTAATTTATTTCTGTAATTCAACTTAAAATATTAAACCGTATTATGATGAAGAAATACATGCAAAGTGACATACGCCAAGCCTTTGTTATAATTCTGATAATGGCTTATGTTCTGATAAGTTTCACATTGTAAGTTGAATCACAGAAGTACAAGGACTTTTAAAAGATTTTCGAGTTTCCAGAGTTTCATCTATATTAACCAAATATTTACAAAAAATTGCAAATTAGTTACCATAGAAATCTGACTTTTTCCTCCAGATTTTTCAAAAGGAAGTACAATTTCGACATCAGGTAAAGGCAGCCCCACCTCCAGTAGACTGTGATGAGGACCAAATGTTGGACTGGGCCCGAGTTCTGTTGGGTCAGCAGAAGACGGGACTGGGTGTGTCCGGTGCACCCCCTGGACACTCATGGGAAATGTATCTGCATTATTTATTGTCTGTACACAACAGCTGGTTTTCAAATAAACAATCTCTCATGAACATCTCTGCAACATCAACTTGTATGTTTTTTGCAGTTTCAAATCAGACCCGAGTCCATATGTAATAATAATAATGACAATAATAAAATTGCAACTGTTTTACATAGCGCTTTTCAGGACACTCAAAGACGATTCACTCATTCCACATTCACTCCATACACGCTGGTGATAAACTACTACTGTAAAGGTGCACTTTATTAATCCCCGTAGGGCATTTCAATCCTCTGCATTTGACCCATCCTGATGCCACGAAGGCTTACATCAGGAGCAGTGGTCGCCATAGTAACAGCGCCCGGGAACCCATCTCCAGATGTTGATGCTCGGCTTGGATTTAACATAGTGAGCATGTTTTTAGAGGTAGGGAAAACCGGAGGAAACCTACACAGGCACGGGGAAAACTTGCAAACTCTACTCAACTATAAGGTCTGTTCTGACCATTTCATAACAGGTAAGAGCTAGCTAATTCTGTGCATGTGTGGTTTATATTCAGAACTGCGATTTGACTGTGATACCATGTTCAAGAGGTCCCATCTAAATGAATGAGAGGAGTAGGGAAAGGGTGGTAGACAGAAGTGATTTACGGCCTGTGATATCAACTGCTTTGTTCAAAATAAATTACTGAAAGAAATATTGCATCATATACATCATGACGTTTTTTTAATTGTAAAACTGTTAAGTGCAAGAAAGCTATTTCTGGGAAGTCCACTGGTCTCGCCACATTTCATATGGATCCAAATCTCCCGATTCTCAAAGCTCTATTCTCATTACGGCCTGGTCAGACAGGAATTATTTGTTGGAACCTAATATTGATAACATTTCACAAAGTTCTCTAGATCTAATGTGCTGCCCTTAAAAACTTTCATGTAACATTAGAAAATTACCAGTGACTTTCAAAATGGGAAGGAATAGAATGCTGCATCCATAATACAGCTTTCTTTATCAATGTATTTGTAGAAATCTATTTCCTTGTGATTTGATGCATCAATAATAGATACTTTATCGACCCACTTTTGTAGAAATTCAGGTGTCCAGTATCGGCAAAAAACAAAATATAAAATTGATTATTCTAAAACGTTAACAATAGTAATAATAAGCAACATCCTTCAGGTCACAGCAGCAGAGGTGGATATAGTACATACAGTAGTAATAGTATTTGTCCTGCATGCTACACGTGTGGAAGCTAACCTCAAGTGCAATGAGTTTAAACCTAACTTTGTTTCATTTATAATACGGGTCATTTGTTGCAACAGAAAGTCTAGTTAAAAGTAAAACTGGTCACAACATACCGTTTTTATCTTATGAGAAAATATGTTACCCATTGCATAATTGTAAGAAAGAGCTCTGTGACTCTCTGGGTTAAGAGCAAAGTGAGGATTTTCATATTTCTGATTTTAAAAAGCTCATCCAAAAGATGTTCACTGCAAAAAGTGATTTAAAAAAAAAACATCCTCAAATTTGGCAACATATACAGTATCTCACATTTGACTGCCTTAAAACAAGATTTGCCAATGGGACACACTGGGGTCGTCTTTCTACAGTTTTTCCAATGTGGTTTTACTGGAAATGGTGAAACAAATCTTACAATAAAACTTTTCGATCACAAAAATCAGCGGCCTTTTTTTCTTTATTAAAAAATACACATTGTTTATTGCAGATATTAAAACTTATCAACAAACTTTACAATCAGTACACATACATCAAACAGCAGCAGACTTACAAACCAGATCAGTTATTTACAAGAGAATGGTCTTTCTCAGAGTCCTTGAAGTTTGCTGTAAAAACAACACAGATCAAAATGATGAGTTCTGTATCAGACACACGTGAAAGAGAAGAGCGGTACCTGTCCTCCACCGTTCTGCTGGACGGATAGTACACCTTAAACGTGAAACCACTTCTTGGAAAGGAGCCCTGCAAAACAAAAGGCGACGCAAAACTTTAAATTGATGTATCGTTTGGTAAAACAGAAGGATAGATGTGAAAAATGTGTAAGAAGGTTTTGAGGAAAAAGCATCAGTTACATCAAGTAGAAGTGGGAAATTACATTCTTCTATAAAGTGATTTAAAGAGCAACTTTATGGTTTTTCATACTTCTGATTTAAATTCATTTTTGTATGACCCTAAATGACGACAGTATCATCTCAGTGGACTTTGGCCAACACAGATCAGAGAATCAAACAGTTCAAACACAGGAAATGCAATAAAAACAAACACATAGGAGCCTTTGGTCCATGGGAGCGGAATGAACATGAATTAACATTAACGTTGTGATGTCTGTATAAATCTTACAGGACATACGAAGACACGAAGGTGGTGATTCAAATGTGCCGTTTACTTGTAGACTTCTTATATCCCTGAGTAATACGTGCATAACATATAGAACAGCGCCCCCCAGGGGAACATGCGCACATGTCTTAAAGTGACACAACCAACAAATGTATAAATGTATACCAATCAGGGACGTGCGGTGAGGTTTGTGATTGGGGAGGCACTGACTTTAAAAGTCAGATTTACAATCATTATTCAAATAAAATAGCATTTAATCACCAATGCAATGACATCCACAAACTTTATATACTGTAAAGATAAGAGAACCAGCTTCTTTTAATAATCTCACAACAAATCTAGCTGCTGACTCTGCTCCGCATCAAACAACATCTTTAAGAAGCGCAGGTGCGAGAGACGCGAGGAGAGAGAGACGCGAGGAGAGAGGAGCAGAGAGAGACAGAGAGGAGCAGAGAGACGGAGACGCGAGGAGCAGAGAGAGACGGAGACGCGAGAGAGAGAGAGACGCGAGGAGAGAGAGACGCGAGGAACATAAACAATAATTTAAACAAGTTGCAGAACTCTTGAGCAGTGTTTGAATCAGTGTTTTTTCGGAAAAGCACTACTTTGCCGGTATCTGTCAATGTTCAACATAAAACACAGATTAACAAACTCCTCCCCCGCAGCCGGACTAACCTCGTAAGTCCAGTGGTGGTCTCCCAGTCTATATTAATTCTTTCTTTGTTTGAAAGTCCAATTGAGAAAAAAAATCTTCATTCAAATCATCCATTTTCCAGCAAAAGAAATAGCATTTTGGGCTGATTGTTTGTTAGCAACTCTGGTATGAACTTTATGCTCACTATCACCCCTAGCGGTGAGGCACAGATACCGCCTGCCTCACGCCAAGCTTTTTCCTTGTGTGTTCATCTACGATCAAAAGACTTAAACTAAATATAAATTGTACACACATACGTGCAATACACTACTAAACACTAAGAGGAGTTTAAAAAATGTTTTTAAAGCAGGATATTTGAAACAAACGGTGATATATCAACTGCACGAGCTGAGTGCACTCCGACACACACACACACACTGTGAGGGAGCGGTCTGGGGTGAGGCACGCAGGAGCGCTGCCTCACCTCGTCTCTTTGAATAGGAATAACGGGATTTCTGCGATTTTGACTTCAGAAATGATCAAAACTGATGGGAACCGTGCCGAATATACATTAAAAGCATAGGACAGTGGATATAAATTATATATTTAAACTAAAATAATTATTAGTTTCCAATAATGGCAGGTGAGGCTCTGCCTCCCCTGCCTCCCCTGACTGCACGTCCCTGATACCAATACATTACAAACGTTAATTGATGTTCTTAAAAGGACAACTAAACACCAAATCAACTCATGAACTGCATAAATCCTGGTCCTTTTTTTGACATTGTAGTGCAAATTAGATAAAATCTCACTTTTGAGCCTAGGTTCCGTGAGTGTGGGGAGGGGAGCAAAAAGAGCGAGCCCAGCGCTCACATTCGAAAGTTAGTGCAGCATTACACCACCGCCACTGCTGCTGAGATAATTCTGTGGCTTAGGTTCAAGTGTGTAGCTTCACAATTATCTTAGTGTGTAAACAAGGGGGAATGAGACTTTCTGTTACTATGAACTATTGCTTTAAGCTGCAATGACAACTGGCTGTTTTTGTGTGTGATAAGCGAGCTGTCAATCACAGCCCAGACCCCGCCCAGCTCTAATCCCCCCTCCTTGTCCCTTGGTCCTTCAGGTAACGGCCTTTTTAGAGAACATTTTAAAACGAAGCAAACGGAGTAAGGCACAGGTGTCTAGTATTCCTTTAAATGTCACAGATCATCACCAATTTCCTTACACCCTCCAGCATCAGCAAAGAGCAACTGTTTAACTTTTCTCTGTCTAAAAATCTGATCTAAAGATGTGATAGAGGCCAAATACAAGCAGGTGAAAACGTATGAAACAAACTGAACATGGGACTTACTAAAATCTTATTTTATTGCCATTCCTCCACTCAGGTTAGGGTAAGGGTTAGGATCAGTTCATTTGGTTCAGGTTAGGGTGGGGGATAAGACAAGGGTGAGTTTGCAGCAGGGGCAAAATAACAAGAGTACCTTTCATTTAATAGCTACATAGTTTTTGTAGTTTGAAAGTCAGATACCGCAGTAGTAGTCATACACAGGCCTCCACATGTTTGTGTGTGAGGTGCAGAGTCTCACCGGGTTGACACACAGACAGTCAGTGTTGGTGATGCTGAAGGGGTCGTACTTGTCGGCGAACACGATGAGGTCGGGGACCGGGTACAGCCGCAGGGCGTAGTCGTAGGCCCAGAACACGGGGCTGACGTACAGCGGCAGAGGAGCCAGGTGGGCCTGGGACAGCACGCTCTTCACAAACTTTACAAACACACAACACGCTGGGTCAAATAAAGTATACAATTCAGATGCTTCAGAAATACGTTAAACAAGAACACACAATACTACTAAATACAGAACTAATGTACTGTGATTATTTATGATTTTAATGCTATCTTGTTTTGTTCAGCACTTTGAGTTGCCTTGTGTGTGAATTGTGCTATACAAATAAACTTGCCTTGCCTTACTAATTGTATAATACCTACAGTCAGAGAATAGATTGATTGATTTGTTATCCAAAACAATCATTGAAGCAATGTGGACATTATCAGTAGAACTATGCTTAGACATAAGCAATGTCTGAGCATAGTCCACCGACACATTCCCCACATTACAGATAATAATAATAATAATAGGTAGCAGCTCTATCTTGAACTCACAAAATATTGCTGAGCGCTGCTGTAGCTGTCAAAATCTGTGCATACACTATAAAATACAGACCGTACTAGTCCTCTCTTGCACAAGCCACTAGGGCTGTCACGATTCTCCAAATCCTCAAATTGTATTTGAATTTCAAATTCAGGGTCACGATTTGATTCTCGCTTGCTTACAGCACAGAGGTCAATGCCATTTTTAGACTAGTCTACTTTACGATCGTTGGTTTTCTTTATAAAATTTATTACAGTAAATATTTCAAAAGATTGGCCCCTCTTTGAGCATGGAACATTTTTATATAACGCACTAATAAATGGTGACTTCCAACATTCAAAAGGGATATCATAACCTTTGAAATATTCAACAAAATCATCATCATTTTCCCAAACTTGTGATGAATTGCACAATAAAAAGGGGATGTAGCCAATTCATATTTACATTCTAAAATAAGTTAAGTTGTTCATAATAGTTGCCTATAATTATCCAAACATAATAGTCTTATTGCTACGGAACCAACTTTACTCAGAAATGGGCCTCTTTGTGCTTAACTGAAGGGGGCGCTAGTCTGACCAACACAGTTACTTGTTATCAGCAGAGAAGATAAGCGCTAACAATAACGTCACTTCAGCAAAGTGATGGAGGTACTTTGGGCAAAGAGCAAAGAGTGGATGAAAGCAGAAATCTCCAGTTCATCAGTCCTCAGGCCTGTGTGCGCATGAGGAGATTCACACAGACAGACACCAGAAATACGAGGCTGCATCGTTTTGTCGCCGACACGGGACGCTGTCAAATCACGTTGATTAGCATTAGATCTGAATCACATCAGGCTGGATGTTTATTGTGAGCGCAGGACAGAGGATTCTATGGCTGAGACCCCAAAATCAGCTAAGAGAGGGAAGCGATAGTCGATCCTCTTTGATTTTGATGCTCAAGACCATGACATGATTTTGATCCATTTCGATGAAAACAAAAATCTAAATTGTGACAACCCTACAAGCCACACAAGTAGTCTTCTGGTTTTCGATAGGAAACTGTTGTACTTGCGGTTATGTGAAGTTGTTTATGATGTCGGAGGATACATGCAGGGAATGAGAAGCACAAGCTGCAAGAAAAGAATCTGCAAAACAGCAAGGCCGCAAAAGGTAAACCACGTTTTAGCGAGACTACTGTATTATTATTTACATGACAGCAAAATTATAAGTCAAAAGCGACCAGAGCCTGAACTGCCCACAGACACCTGCTGTACTTTTCCTATGCTTATAATAATGCACATAACACTCTTGAAGATCTAATAAACACTGATGAAGTTGTATACAAATGAACAAATATTATCCTTGACTAGGGGTGGGAACCTAAGGGTACCTCACGATACGATACGATACACGATACAAAGCTCACGATAGCGATTTTATCACAATATGACGATTATTGATATATTGGTCAGAAATATACAATATGCCAATTTATGGCATAAATAAAAGAAAAATTTATCTTTATTTCATGATAAATAGAATGGAGATGCGTAATGTACCCATATATTAAGTATTGATACCAATTCCAAAAAAAAAATTGTAAAAAAAATAAAAATAAAATAATCATTTTTTTCTTTTTTCTTTTTTCAAAATTGATATCGATACTTGGCAAATGCATATCGATAATCGAATCGCGGAAGAAAGTATCGTCACACCCCTATCCTTGACTGTGCCCTACTGCCTTCTGCCACTGGAGGGAAACTTTGGACCAATCAGAGCGCTCCTTTGACAAAGACAGTTGCACATGCAGGACTTCTGAGAAACACAGCTCCAGACCAGAGACCATTGGCCAGGGCTCCCTCCCGACGAGCACTTACGTGGTTGGGGATGTCCAGGTTGTTGGTGGGTAAGCGCACACAGTTGCGACACATCTTGTTGACCATGTCCTCCCTCATGATGACCATCTCCTGACTGCAGTACTGAATCCTGCACAAGATGCAAGAATGACCAGTCAGACTCACACTTGGAGAAAATACTGTGTGTGTAGGTGTGTTGCTCTCACCTGCAGGGGTTTGTAGTGAAGACAGAAAATGGCACTCTCTCTCGAAACTCCTGAGTGATGTGGTCGGCCAGAGGAGGTCTGCAAGACACGAACACAGAGTCCCCCTTTCACTCGTTACTAGGAATTAATATGAATAATAATATTGCATTGGTTTTATACAGCGCTTTTTTGGACACTCAAAGATGCTTTACATGCCACTATTCTTTCACTCCATACACAGTAAACTACTATTGTAGCCACAGCTGCCCTGGGGCACACTGACAGAAGTGAGGCAACCAGTATGTCCCATCGGCCCCTCCGACCACCACCAACCATTCACACACACACTAGACTCATTCTAGGCAATGTGGGTGAAGTGTCTTGCCTAAGGACACAAAGGCAGTTTGGCACTTTGCAGCCGCAGCCGCCCCACTGTGGCACCTGGTGTTCCCAGAGGTTAAGTGTCTTGCCAAGGACACAACGACAGCAGACATCAGAGGAGAAAGTCTTGTGGTGGGCTCAAACCAACGACCTTCAGGCTCAAAGGCCAATGCTCTACCATCTGAGCTACCGTCACCCCGGCAACAGCTGTTGTCTCAGAGGAACACACAGGAAAAGTTATAATAACAAACATGTAGGAGCATAGTAGGTCCACAGTGAGCGAGATGACCAATGTCCATAAATGTCTTTAAACAATCACGGTCCTGAGACCCTGCTGCCTCTGTAAGGATCGACTTGGTATGGTAAAACCTTGGTATGGTCCCTATTAAGTTCCAGTTACATTTTTGACTGAGCAAAAATAATGACTAATTGTATGACCTTAAGGGCGACAGTAGCTCAGTTGGTAGAGCATTGGCCTTAAGGCCAGAAGGTCGTGGGTTCAATCCCACCTCTGCCTCTTCTCCACCGACTCCCACTGATGACTGCTGTCGTTGTGTCCTTGGGCAAGACACTTAACCCCACTTTGCCCAAAGCCCCCACTGAAAGATCAAGGCTATGCTCACACTCAGAGAGCAGCCGTCCTCCTGTGGACTCACCACCTGCAGAGGGTCAGTGAGGGGCTGGTGCTATGAGACTTGGGTGGCATCTCTGATTGCCACCCCCCTGACCCAGAAATGGATTAAAGGGTAGAAAATGGATGCATGGATGACCTTTGTCCTTTGAACAAAACATCGCTGGAAATGCAGTTATTGATCATTGATTATTCTTCCTTTATATAGCTAAATAAATGTTTTTTTTTTTTTTTACATTTTAATAATTACATTTGTCTTTAATATGTACGTTTTAGTAAAAAGATGAAGTAATACAGTCATTTCAATATTCAACTTAGTAGGAATTGTGATCAGGTTGACAAGCACTGACACCTTCACCGCTACAGGCTCCAACTGACTCATAGTACCTTGGCAGTATGCTCCCAGGACCGGGGTCTTCTGGTCCAGGCACAAACACAAAACGACTCCTAAAAACAGACAAAGATTTAGAGCCAAAGTCCTACTGCAGTATGAGACACACAACTGTACTGTATATAACGAGTGAGGAGAACAGGGACATACCCACTGTGGATGCTGGGGTGGGCACAGATGGCATCGGCCAGAGACTTTAGGGATTCTGGGAACAACATGGACCATGATCCTCACCATCATGAAGTGAGCGAGTGAGAGAATGTGAAAATACCTTTGAGGGATTTCATTTGTGTCTTTCCATAAGGAGCAGAGAGGAAGTTTCCACAAAAGATGAAACAAGTGGGAGGCATTGTGGCGTAACCTGTAGAAAGAACGATGTCAGTGTTGAAGCCCGGGTGTAGAGGGTTCTCAGACAGGTTCTGAACTTTTACAAAATGCTCAACGACTAAATAGTTTATCGGTCAAACATGTTCTATTTTACTTTTATATCAGTTATGTCCAAACTAATTGTGGCCCTCTGTGTCATATTTTGTGACCCGGTGCCTAGCTAATCCAAAGCAGTCTTAGAGCTCATAGACACAAGTTCACAGTGTCATCCAGCCAACTTCAACTCCACCAATATGTTAAACCTCTCAAGGCCCTCTATAAACTTAACTGTACTTTCAACTTTATTGAAATACACTGATATTTATTTTTGAGTCACAAAATGATGTCGATAATGCTAATGAACCTGCCAAGATGGTAAAAATGTATCATTTGGCCAACTTCAGCTCTGTCAAAATCCTAAATGCCGTCAAAACAGTTTTAAAATCCATGGTTATCGGGATCTGGGTGACTGATGAACTAAAGTGGAACTTTAACTAAGAAGTTTGGGCACCCCATTTTTTAAAATTCTAGTCTGATTATGAGCAGACGTCGCTCTACGCTCTACTGCGAATGTTATCTGCAGGAATAAAACTCAACTCAGGAAATTAAAACCATCTTTGACTAAAATAATTTAACATGTCAGTTTTTAGTGGATATCCTGTCACTGTAGTTCAGGTTGTTAAGTCTTGTTTTTATCCACTCACCTGCCGCCAACGCACACATTCATTTTGCAACATTACACAGTCGATTGTTAAATAACCGCAGCTAAGGTAGTAACAGCTGGTTATAGGCACGTGCATCTGGCTGTGTTTAACCGGAAAAAGGATCTGTGTATAGATTTGTGGATTTACTGAAACAGTGAACCAGAGCAGAAGCCCCCGCCCATGTCCTGCCCTCACCCGAGAACATGAGGTTGATCTTCTCCATGACCTCCACACTGTCCAGCCACACGTCTGACACCAGCACAAACATGGCGTCTTCATTCTCCTCCTCCAGCTGCTTGAGCTTCGCCGACGCCTTCACAGAAATGTTAGACGGGCCGCCGAAGAAGTTAATGTCTCCGTAGTACGCCCTAGGAGAGAGAAGGGAGAGATGTGTGAGAGTGGAGGAGAGAGAGGGGGGCAAAGGAGGCAGAGAGAGAGAAGATAGAGGGAACAGAGGAGAGGGGAGGAGTGAGGGGAAAGAAGGCAGAGGATAGAGAGAAAAGAGGGATAGAAAGGTGACGGATGAGAGAGGTGGAGGTGGGACAGGAGAGAGAGGAGAGGATTTAGAGAGGATTTAGCACTAGACTGTCTGTAAAGTGTTCGTTGGAACTTGAATAAAACTTTGTGGATACGGTACAGTTCTAGAAATATTCCTGGTTTTAAGTTATAAATAAGACTAAAGAAAATCCAATACATTTAACTATTTTGAGCTCATCAGCTCAACTCAATACATTTTTGTATAGCCCAAAAATCCCAACAGTAGTTATCTCAGAGTGTTCCACAAAGTTGTCAATTCGCCGACACAGATCAGAGAATTCCATAGAACCCTGTGGTCACTGACCTGGTGGCTGAGGAGGGTTCTGTCGGAGGAAAGCCCACACCGTTGACGTGGAACACTCCATCTTCATACCAGCCTGGACACACAACACACAGAGAGTGACCACAACAACACACAGGGAGTGACCACAACAACACACAGGGAGTGACCACAACAACACACAGGGAGTGACCACAACAACACACAGAGAGTGACCACAACAACACACAGGGAGTTACCACAACAACACACAGGGAGTGACCACAACAACACACAGGGAGTGACCACAACAACACACAGGGAGTGATCACAACAACACACAGGGAGTGACCACAACAACACACAGGGAGTGACCACAACAACACACAGAGAGTGACCACAACAACACACAGGGAGTGACCACAACAACACACAGGATGTGATCACAACAACACACAGGGAGTGATCACAACAACACACAGGGAGTGACCACAACAACACACAGGGAGTGATCACAACAACACACAGGATGTGACCACAACAACACACAGGGAGTGATCACAACAACACACAGGGAGTGATCACAACAACACACAGGGAGTGACCACAACAACACACAGGGAGTGACCACCACAACAACACACACAGAGAGTGACCACAACAACACACAGGGAGTTACCACAACAACACACAGGGAGTGACCACAACAACACACAGGGAGTGACCACAACAACACACAGGGAGTGACCACAACAACACACAGGGAGTGACCACAACAACACACAGGGAGTGACCACAACAACACACAGGGAGTGATCACAACAACACACAGGGAGTGACCACAACAACACACAGGGAGTGACCACAACAACACACAGGGAGTGATCACAACAACACACAGGGAGTGACCACAACAACACACAGGGAGTGATCACAACAACACACAGGATGTGACCACAACAACACACAGGGAGTGATCACAACAACACACAGGGAGTGATCACAACAACACACAGGGAGTGACCACAACAACACACAGGGAGTGACCACAACAACACACAGGGAGTGACCACAACAACACACAGGGAGTGATGACAACAACACACAGGGAGTGACCACAACAACACACAGAGAGTGACCACAACAACACACAGGGAGTTACCACAACAACACACAGGGAGTGATCACAACAACACACAGGGAGTGACCACAACAACACACAGGGAGTGACCACAACAACACACAGGGAGTGACCACAACAACACACAGGGAGTGATGACAACAACACACAGGGAGTGATGACAACAACACACAGGGAGTGACCACAACAACACACAGGGAGTGACCACAACAACACACAGGGAGTGATGACAACAACACACAGGGAGTGACCACAACAACACACAGGGAGTGACCACAACAACACACAGGGAGTGACCACAACAACACACAGGGAGTGATCACAACAACACACAGGGACCACAACAACACACAGGGAGTGACCACAACAACACACAGGGAGTGACCACAACAACACACAGAGAGTGACCACAACAACACACAGGATGTGACCACAACAACACACAGGGAGTGACCACAACAACACACAGGATGTGACCACAACAACACACAGGGAGTGATCACAACAACACACAGGGAGTGATCACAACAACACACAGGGAGTGATCACAACAACACACAGGATGTGACCACAACAACACACAGGGAGTGATCACAACAACACACAGGGAGTGACCACAACAACACACAGGGAGTGACCACAACAACACACAGGGAGTGATGACAACAACACACAGGGAGTGACCACAACAACACACAGGGAGTGACCACAACAACACACAGGGAGTGACCACAACAACACACAGGGAGTGATGACAACAACACACAGGGAGTGACCACAACAACACACAGAGAGTGACCACAACAACACACAGGGAGTTACCACAACAACACACAGGGAGTGATGACAACAACACACAGGGAGTGATGACAACAACACACAGGGAGTGATGACAACAACACACAGGGAGTGATCACAACAACACACAGGGAGTGATGACAACAACACACAGGGAGTGATGACAACAACACACAGGGAGTGATGACAACAACACACAGGGAGTGATGACAACAACACACAGGGAGTGATGACAACAACACACAGGGAGTGATCACAACAACACACAGAGAGTGACCACAACAACACACAGGGAGTGACCACAACAACACACAGGGAGTGACCACAACAACACACAGGGAGTGATGACAACAACACACAGGGAGTGATGACAACAACACACAGGGAGTGATGACAACAACACACAGGGAGTGACCACAACAACACACAGGGAGTGACCACAACAACACACAGGGAGTTACCACAACAACACACAGAGAGTGACCACAACAACACACAGGGAGTGACCACAACAACACACAGGGAGTTACCACAACAACACACAGGGAGTGACCACAACAACACACAGGGAGTGACCACAACAACACACAGGGAGTGACCACAACAACACACAGGGAGTGATCACAACAACACACAGGGAGTGACCACAACAACACACAGGGAGTGACCACAACAACACACAGGGAGTGATGACAACAACACACAGGGAGTGATCACAACAACACACAGGGAGTGACCACAACAACACACAGGGAGTGACCACAACAACACACAGGGAGTGATCACAACAACACACAGAGAGTGACCACAACAACACACAGAGAGTGACCACAACAACACACAGAGAGTGACCACAAGGTGAATTTGAGTTTGTTGAAAAAGACACCTCGGGTACAGACTTACCTTCTGCCAGGACAAAGCAGGACTCCGTGTAGAGGCCGTTGTGAAACTGGTGAGACGAGGTCAAGGATCATGCTACATTTTTATATCACTATTAACCTCATTATCCATTTTATTTCTTTAGTTTGTCTATAGTTGTGCTGTACATATTCACTCGTATTATTGGACAATCAAATTACAATATATTTTAAAATGTGGCCCAACTTAAAAGAATATCATAATATTATTAATAAACAATTTCTCTTAATTTTAATGTTCCTAGGTGTTGATTTTGAGTTTATGAAAACATCCTCCCAATTCTTTCAACTAAATCCACAGTTGCTTACAGCAGATCATAGTCTGACTGGGGGCTCTGGGAAAAAACAATGAATTGTGGATCTAATCTTGACTGTTTTCATTCAGTCATTAAAGTTGGGGTGCCTGACTTTTCTTGTTCATTATTCACACAATTAGTTTGTCCAACAGAAAGAGTTAACTGGTGAAAGTTAAATGTCAAATTCGGACCACAGCATTTATATCATAAGAAAACACATTTTGGTGGATTGGAAGTTAAATACCCAGATTCCTTTGGATTTAGACAGAACAAAAAATACATTTTCAAAAAAATCTACATTGAAGTCTATGTATAAAATATGTTAAGACCAAAAGGATATTGCTTTGGACATGTCGAGCTGCACCGTTCCACTGGGGTCCTCCAAGTAGAATTTACCCTTCACAAATTAACACACGGCAACAAACAGAAAGTACAATAAAAGACAGTTTCAAGAAACCAAAAACTTTTACTTTTAGCTTCTCAGCATTTACCGAACACTGAAGAGAAGTCCACACTATTTACTAAATACTACTCGGAAAAAAACTGTAACCCAGTTTGTTTGTGAGATTTATGGTGAGACTAAAACTTGAAGGATTGATATTAGACCAAACAATGTATATGATTAAAACAGTATTTATAGTTTTTCAGCTAAATACATGCTGCCTTAATATTTATAACAGGTTTCCAGATACTATTATTACACATGACCTTTTTATCATGACAGAGTTAAACTGGAACAAACAGACTAATAATGAGTGAATGAATTTACAAGGCTCTAGTAAAACTGAATTCTGAGTCAAACTAAACTAAAATCAGAGTCAGAAAACGTAGCGCACCTCCTTGAGTTGTGTGATCATCCCCAGAACGATGACTTCTCCCAGTTTGGACGTGCTTCCCAGGAGAGCTTCTATGGTTTTCAGCTGGAGGAAAGACAAACGTTTACAAAGACCCTTTAATGATTCAGTGATCTTCAGAATATTGTTGTCATTTCTGGATGACATCCCGCTACTTCTACTTTTTCTTTTCCCCTGTGCCTTATGTGTATTTTCTTGTAGTAGAGTTGTTGCGAGTTATGTACTTATTATTTTGACTCACCAGTCTAACAGTTAAGCTGTTAAACACTGTCATTAAATCGTGCTGTGAACAGTTAAAACAGTCTTTTATCTGACATTTTCCAGTAGGGAAACAAAGTGTAGGGCTGAAAATACTGCCAAACTAACTCTAATGTTTTTTTTAATCAATGGATGAATCTTAGGACATTTGACACTTACATTGAGTTTATGTAAGTTATTTATCAATGTTTTCTTGTATGGCCCTAAATCACAACAGTAGTTCTCTCAGAGGACTTTTTAGACATAAATAAATATCACTTGATATAAAATCACTTCACAGAAAAACTTCCAAAACTAAAATCCAAATCAAAAGTTGAAAAGTAAAAAAATGCAGAAAACTGATGAACAATGTGTGTCACGCTGGGAGCGTACAGACCTGAAACTTGTTCTGTCCCTCGTCCACCACAGTCCCGATGGCCGGGGGCGTGAAGAGCTCGTGTCTGTGAGTGCGCTGGACAAAGGTCAGAGGTCAGAGGAGGTGTTTGAGGAGTTCAGGTGTAAATGTGTGAAAGATCTGCTTTTTTTCTGCTCATTTGTTCATTTGTAAAAACATATGAACATTTGTATGTTGTGCTAAATTGAATTCAGACATTACATTTTCAAATAAAACATGTTACACACGACTCTTCACACTATTTAAATTATAATATTATATATCAGAATATGTGTGTTCATTTTGAGTAGAAGTATTTTATCAATAGAATAGAAAATATGTGGATATGTTTGAAGGGCTCTAAATGAGTAAAACCCGAGCTATTGGAAACAATGAAATTGCATTGATTATATTCTAAAAAGACGTTTAACATGAGAGGATCTATATGAATCATAATAACATTAAATCCTCATCTGTCAGTCTGCACACACTGGGCCATGAACTACGTACGCAGACATAACATAAGAATGAACTGGGTGTCAGAAATGAACTAATAACCACAGCATTTCTGCTCATGGACCGTCGTTATGGAAACACACCTGTTGTAGGATTGTGTATCGCTCCCTGAAGAGCTCGGCTTTGTCCCGGGACAGTCCACACAGGCTGGGGGACGGGTGGCTCGTCATCTTGATGCTAAAACATCAAACAAATATAAAAAATAAGTTGAAATTTAGTTTTACAATATTGCATTTCAAACATGTTGAAAGTTTCATAATTTGGCAATATTTAGAACTAGAATCAAAACTGGAATGACTGCAAAACATCCTATGAAACGGACGACCCAAGGTTTTGGTCAGTGTGAAAAGAGCAGTGAGCAAAGGATGGAACAGGAGGTTGACAGACTAATCAGTGCAGACGCTGTGGTTGGAGAGTGGGAGCAGTGTCTGCAGTCGAAGCTCTGAACTTATTGCTCAGCCCACAGTCCCAAAGAGTATAGACAAGAGGCGAATCTCCGTTGCAGTGTTGACAACAGCCACTAGATGGCGCTCTCGTCATTTTGGACTGAACCAGAGCTCTGCCATCAACTGCAGGGAAAGTACAACTAATCAAAAGCATTTCATAGATTCCTCAAACAACAAGAAAGGTATGGATCAACGTCAACAGGTATTATTATAGATTATTATAGATCCATGGTTGTAGCATACATTTAAAGCCATGGGTTGAGGTTAAATTGTGCTGTGGCTCCTTTAAAATATATCCATGCAGCCTGTATGTGAATGGAACAGAGTTTATTGTTTATTGTCGCCTTTCTCTAGACTAAAAAGAAAAAGTTTAGGTTATGTTTATGAAAACGATGTTGACAGTTACACAATGCATGCGGCGTCACTAAAAGCCCTGATTCAATTAATTATGTGTAATTAAATTTCTTTGACAGCTTTATGCTCTGACTAAAGTGTTTAATAAAAAACTGATTCAAAAGCATTTTTTGTAAGCAAGCAAAGCAATTTAGAAAACATGCACTCACGGTATAAACTTCTTTCTCTCCACATTGTAGATGAATCTTGGTATGTCATATGCACCAATGATGTTAAACACGTTGTCTCTGAAAAAACACGCAGTAGCTCATTGAGATTAGTATCCACTTTATCACAAAATACTGTTTTGGTGATGTATGCCCTTACATGGCTTCATTACACGACTGAGTACAATCCTGGACAGCGCTCTCCAGCACAGACAGCTCAATCATACTGGACGACACTGGGAAAAGATCATCAAAGGTGAACTAGAGTTATGACCGATACAAAGTAGAGGTAGTGTGATGATCAAATAGATGATTTGCTTTGGTAAAATCAACAAACAAAAGCCTAGTTACGGACCTAAACCTACTGTAGCAGAAGAACTACACTATAAATTACAACATAATTATACTATAACTATAATTCTGCTTCTGCGTCTTCGCTGTAAGAGTGAGGTTACGCACGCGGCTGCTTCTCCACCGCGTCCAGGACCCTCTCCATGATGTCATCCAGCTCGGTCACACTCACAGCCTCCAGCACCTCCACCAGGTACCGACTGGCCTCGCTGTGGACCACAACAACACGTCAATGTGGGCAGCACTGGTATTTCATGGAAGACATGGCTCATTTTATATTCGTTAGCATGTTTAAATTGCTACATTCAGTCTCTAATTACAGTCTACAAGGACAATTGTGAAGGACATTTACCATTTCACATTGCAAAAGAACAATTTACTTGAGATGTACAGTAGTATTAAGATTAAGAGATCCTTTATTGATTATTGTCATTTGAACACAATTTAATGTGAAAGATCTAAGTGAGAGGTCCTCTCTTTTTAAATTTTTTGTTTGAAAAAGCTGATCTAAAGATGTGACGGACGGTCAAAAATGCATGCGTGTAAAAATTAGTGATAAATGTCGAGAAATGAAGACAGCGATCGCACCAGTTTATTTTCAAGTCCTGCCAGATAGAACAAAGCTTTCTATATGATTTCACTGCTTTCACTGGAGACGCTCGTCCTGAGGAGACGCAGAGGCGACCAACGCAGAGTGGATCTCGGTGCACTCCGGCCTCTCGCCCGCTCCTCCTCGCTTCACCACGAGGACGTAACTATTTGCTTGGGCCTCATGAATGTTAGATCGCTAACAAATAAGACTTTTCTTCTCAACGACCTGATCGCGACACGGGATTTGGATATTACTTTATTCACGGAGACATGGGTCCAAGCTGGTGAGTCCACGGCGTTTTCCGAACTCCTTCCACCAGGCTACTCATTCATTAGCTCCCCGCGTACTAGTGGTAGGGGAGGTGGGCTTGCCACAGTGTTTAAAGACTCGTTTCCATGCAAGCAAATTCCATCTGAAAGCTTTTCAAGCTTTGAATTACAAACATTTATGCTTGAACGCGCTCCTGTCATCTGTGCCTTAATGTATCGTCCTCCTAAAATTCATAAGGATTTTATTCAGGAATTCACAGACTTTGTTACAGGGCTCGTGCTGAAATATGACTGTTTTATTATTGCTGGTGACTTTAATATCCATGTGTGCTGCGAGTCTAAACCATTAGTCAAGGACTTTTTAAATGTTTTAGAAACGTTTAACTTGGCACAGCTGGTCCCTGGCCCAACACATGAAAGGGGACATACGCTCGATCTTGTGCTGTCTTTTGGTCTGAATCTGGAGATTATCGATATCTGTGACACGGGTATCTCAGATCACTACGCCGTGCTCTTTACTCTAACGCTTCCAAAATCTAACATTAAGCCGTGTGCCCCTGCGCGCAAAGTGCGCACATGCAACTCGCAAACTGCACTCACATTTTCGTTGGCTTTCTCTGACTTTATACTGAACAACGACTGCGGCAGTGATTTAGCTGTGGAAGACATGGTCTCTTTATTCAACGCTACATGCTCAAGCATTATTGATCTCGTAGCCCCATCCAGAGTCAAATGCGTAAAGCCTAAAGCTGAGCCCTGGCTTAATGACGCAACACGGGCTCTGAGGCGCATCTGCAGACGTGCGGAGAGACGCTGGCAAAAGGACCGTCTGCAGGTGTCGCTGGACATGCTGAAAGACAGTCTACAGTCATATCAGAGAGCAGTTAAAACTGCCAAGTCTAAATTTTTGTCCAACGTTGTTACTATCAATTGCCACAAACCCCAGGTTCTTTTTAATACACTGACCTCTTTGATTAATCCATGCACTTCTCCCCCTGTAGTGGCCTCTTACAAACTATGCAATGATTTTATTGTATTTTTTAATGACAAAATTGCCTCCATTAGGCAGTCTCCGTTGTGTAAGCCCAGTTTTATGAATATAGATAATGGCTGTCAAAATGTATTTGAGTGTTTTGAAAATGTGTCCTTAGCATTTGTGACAGACATTGTAAAAAAGCTACGCCCGTCTTGTTGTCCCCTTGACTCCATCCCATCTCGTCTGTTTAAGGAGGTGTTCAACACAGTGGGGATTTGGGTCCTTAACATAATTAATGCATCTTTAAATTCAGGATGTGTACCTATCACACTTAAACATGCCGTGGTACAACCTCTTCTTAAAAAGCACAATCTTGACCCTACATGCTTGTCGAATTATAGGCCCATCTCAAAGTTGCCTTTTATTTCTAAGATCTTGGAAAAGGTTGTTCTCGTTCAACTACAGGACCATCTTGATACTTATAGCATCACTGAGAAGTTTCAGTCAGGTTTCAAAGCCAAGCATAGTACTGAGACTGCTCTTCTTAGAGTTCTTAATGATCTTTATTCAGTCTCAGACTCAGGCCGCCCTTCTGCTCTAGTTCTCCTAGATTTATCGTCAGCGTTCGATACGGTGGACCATGATATTCTTATTGCACGCCTCGAGCAACAAGTGGGCATCACAGGAACTGCACTTAAATGGTTTCAGTCCTATCTGACTGAGAGAACCTTTTCTGTTCAATTTGGCCAGTTCTCCTCTCAAGCGTCCAATTTAAAGTGTGGAGTGCCCCAAGGCAGTATTTTGGGCCCTACCCTATTTTGTCTTTACATGCTTCCCTTAGGAGCTATATTTGAGAAGCATAATATTTCCTACCACTGCTATGCTGATGATGTCCAAATATATCTGCCCATTCAGACTAGCAGCTGTGTACAGACACTTGTTGATTGTTTGAAGGAAGTTCAGGAATGGATGCAAGATAACTTCCTTAGTTTAAACAACAGGAAAACAGAAATACTTACCTTTGGGACTTCTGACCCTCTGCTGAACTGTGACAGTGCTATAGGACCTCTTATGGTTTATGAAAAGCCCCACGCCAGGAATCTAGGATTTATTATTGACAGCCATTTTAAATTTGATAAGCAGATAAATGCTGTTCTTAAAACAAGTTTTTATTATCTCAGAGTTCTTAGCAAAGTAAAATCTTATATTCCACATGCCCATTTTGAGAAGGCCATTCATGCTTTTATCACTTCCAGGCTTGATTATTGTAACTCCCTCTATGTCGGCATTGACCAGGCCCAGCTCAGCCGCTTACAGGGAGTGCAAAATGCAGCAGCCCGTCTTTTAACAGGGACAAAGCGCAGGGAGCACATCACTCCTGTTTTGCAATCCCTGCACTGGCTCCGGGTATATTTTAGAATTCATTTTAAAATTCTTATTATCGTTTTTAAAAGTTTTAATAGAATGGCACCTGAGGCCTCCAGCCTCACCTTCCCTCCAGAGCACTGCGCTCTGCAGATCAGCACCTTCTTGTCGTCCCTAGGACCAGGCTGAAGACCAGAGGAGACAGAGCTTTCTCTGTTATAGGGCCAAAGTTGTGGAACTTTTTACCTTTGCACATCAGGACTGCACAATCACTCGAGCACTTTAAATCCCTGCTTAAAACGCATCTTTTTTCTTTGGCTTTTACTACCAAGTAGACAGAGACAAATTTTTCGATTTCTTTTTGTATATACATTTCTGTATTTTATGTGTTTTTATTTTATAATTTTTCCTCGCTGTCTGTTCAGCACTTTGGTAAGCCTAGGCTGTTTTAAATGTGCTCTACAAATAAAGATTTGATTGATTGATTGATGATTTGTATCAATGTGCATATGAGCAGAGACATTATCACTTGTTGAGAGATTAATGACGCATGCTTAAGATACATCTGTATACTTGTAACAATTGTCAGAACAAATACTATATTATCTGAACAATATTCAGATAATAATGTTTAGCAGTATGCAGATATAACATAGGCCCACAGTACAAAATTTGCAGCTCATATTCCACACAAGTTAGAGCCAGGAACTAGATACATGGATTGTTTGTCACTGGTTAGTTGAATCACATATAAGCTTGTTTTCTATTGTAGTATTTGAGATTTCTAAAAGACACTTTATGAGATGACTAGTAATAAATAGACTGAAAATTAGTAGCTGCAACAAAGATAATAATACAGTTATAAACTTTAACATTCATGGGGTAAAACCAGGCCTGGACAAAGGCAGAAAACACATATACGCACGGCCGGAGTATGAACCCTCGCATCTTGAATCCAGCGGACACTTTATTCTTGATTTTCCGCGACACCTCCATGTTTTGTGTTGTCTGAGAGCAGCTCAAGCTTTGGCGCTAAATGACAACTGTACTTCCGCATCTCTGACGTCACTTCCGTCTCTTCTAAATAATAATGAAAACCTGAATAAAATAAACTACGCTCACATGCAGTATAAAATCCTTCGCGTAACGAGTATAGAAAAAAGCATACTTTCATCTAATCTGGATGTAGCCATGTTCTGTCACGTTTTCGATGAGGCAACAAAATAAAAGTAGCCGGCTACGTTGCAATTTTTTGTCGTAAAGTAGAGCAAAAAGACTAGGAATATTTACATAATTTAAATATAAAAGAAACAAATTAAGCATTAGTATACATTTAAAATATTAAGTATTTGTAAATTGGGGTTTCATCTTTTATTTTGAAAGGCAGTGCAGCGGAAACGGCCCGTGTTGACATCGCGTTTGTTTACAATAGTGGTTCGAGGCTTTTCTGTCACTTTTGGGTCATCACTCGGTTATGACAGCCCATTTTAACATGAAACATTGACAAACGCGTCTTTTATAAGTGTAAGTATGTTTTTATCTTAGCTTGTCACGGGTCGGTTCGTGTTTAATGCTACTGTTGGAATACAAGACGAGTATGAGGAAGACAAGGGGGGACACCAGCCCAAAGGAGTGACACGCCAGCTTGGAGTCACATCGACAACTCAGATGGACATTTGTTTACTGTAAAGTGATGTATTTGATGATTTGTGTCCGTGTGTAGAAGATGGAGCAGTGTCTGGAGCAGGTGGCCAGGGAGCGGAGCGGACACACAGCTGTTTTACACAACAACCTGCTTTATGTGTGGGGAGGATACATGGTGAGACACAACAGGGTTCAAAGGAAACAGACATATGACTTATAATAGCACAAAAACAACATATTTTCGACAGTACTGTGCTGGGGAAAATACTTTTCTGCTGATCTGCATGATATTGTGTAATAATGCAACAATGGATTAAAATATCGTTTTAGTGCACACGTTATAATTATTATGTTATTGTTGTTGATTAGTTAAGTAATAGCATTATCATGGAAAATATTCCTTTGTTTAAATTTAACTCAATTCTGAATACCAATAGACCTTTTTATTGGAAGAAAACATGGTTATGACCATATACACAAGTGTATTACAAATCCATTGAATTATACAATTCTTCACAAAATGTACTTTTACTCACACTGAAATACAGATGAACAAATGTCAGAAAATAAATTTTTATCACTGTTTTGGTTGAATTTTTCCCTATTTTTAGTCAAAGACAAAAATGATAATGAGCCTCTTGTTACTCATTGATTTTACAAATGTTTTTGAGATTGTAAGAAACTTATTTTTACTATGTTCTGTTTTTTAATATAATACATGTCATGCTGTATAATTGGATCTTAATAAGATAGAAAAATACTACTAAGTAATTGCAACACAAGTAACTCAAATGTAGAACTAATTTCTAATTGCTAATCATTTTCCATAAGTTTAAACTCACCTCTGGAGGACTGGGTTTTGACAGTTCCTTTACGACATGTGTGTATGGTCGTTTTAACGTGTGTGTGTGTGCTCACAGTCAGTGGGGGATGACGAGGTCTTCCTGCCCCACGATGAGCTCTGGGAGTATGACATAGACCGAGGCGTGTGGTAAGCACTATTGTACTATATACTGTACTATATACTGTACGATACACTCCACTTACCTTTCAGTTCTCAGTGGAAGAAAACACAGATATCCGGCTTAAAATGACTTGAATTCAGGATTTTGGTCTTTATTTTTCACTAGACTTAAAGCTGGGGTACTTAATTTTCAAATCTCAACAAATATCACCTCCTCGCTCTCAAAACAGTTTGGTTGCATTAGTTTTCACATGAACATAATGTACATATACCCCAGCTTTAAACAAATGCATTTGCTTGTATAATTTAAAATATTTTCAATGTTTGACTATTTACATTAAACTTTAGCTTGAATGAAGTTGACATTTTCCTCTCCATAATGGCAAGACGTTTGCCTGAAGCTTTGAAAACAGTTTAGTTCTATCACTATCTTTCCCAAGCATCTATTTGAATGCATCAGCTTTCAAGTTAAAAAGAGAGAACCACCATCACTCAGCTTTCAGTTTTTAGCCCCAAGAGTTCATTAGTGACTCACAAGACTATTTCTTATGTTGTTATTTACTAAGAGTCTTTCTTTTGGGACAAACGGCATGTAATGTTTTCGAAGTGAAAATGTTCATTACACTTTAAAATTACAATGACATTTTGTTCCTTGAAATGAATAGAACCAAACCAGTCAAAACCTGACGGAACTTTTAAGAAACACGTTCTGAATTTGAGTCATTTTAAACTCTTTTCTAAATGCATTTTTGTAGTGTACTTCCAGTATGTTCTTCTATAGTTCGTAGGGCTGTAACTAATAATTACTTAGAATTTATTTTTCTATCAATGAATTGGCTGAACATAAACATATTTGTATCTGTATTGGACATGAATAACGCTAACGTGAAGCTGCTTGAGGACATTATTATAGTTATTCTAAAACATATGTCTGAGCACATTCATGTTTGGAGTCAGAAGTTAGTCAATAATAATTGCATCAATAAAAGTAGTTTCTTTGAGGAGATGAATCGTTACAGCCCTACTAGTTTGTATGTCTTAATACTTGACTTGGACTTTGTAGACGTCTGCTTTGTGGCAGTGGGAGGAAGCATCAGTATAGCCGCCTCCACTTATGTCTCTAGTCCAGGTTCTTCACACAGATACCTTAGTGAACAGACCGCAGCCGAATACTCCCTCGTAAGAATATCTGCGTTATATTTGAAGTATTCAGAGGATACAGAGGTGCAGGAGGCATGTGTGGCTGACAGCGTGGTGTTGGTTTTAGGAAAGTGTTCCAGACCACTGGGGACGGGCCGCCCTCCATGTCCGGGACATGCGGCTGCTGTCTGGACGGAGTCATGTTCATATTTGGAGGCTGTGACGACAACGGGCAGACGAACGAGGTCAGTGGGGTCACTCTGAAATGCTACAACATGTATGGACATTTATCAACAGTCATGGACATTGGTCTCTCCCTATGGACCAATACATGTGTGTATTTTTGCGTCTTAACTGTTGATTCTCTGATCTGTGTTGGTGATTTCAATGGTTTTGTCAAGTCCTCTGAGATGACTGCTGTTTTATAAATTGTATTGTATTGTATTGTATTGTATTGGGGTCTCCAGCATGTGGCAAAAGCTCCGTGTATCTCCTTTTCTGTAATTGTGTGCAATGCTTTTAGTGTTACCATCTGCACAAGCACTTTGTTTGGGCATGTGCAATGTATTTCTTAATCTGCACTACGCTAGCACTTTAGTCATTGTATGTACTTCGTTGATTACTGTCTGAATACTGTTTAATTTGTGCTCTTGTGGTTTTACTAACATATATTTTGTATGGTTGCGCGGATGGGACTGTGCAATACTAAGGCATATTTGTGTTTGTGATATTGTGATATTTGTGTTTTGCATGTTGTGATGTCCTGATGTTGAGAGTGTCCTGTATGTTTGTGTCCTACAGCACTGAGCCTAAAAGACACATTTCTCTGAGGGGACAATCAAGTTGAACCTTGAACCTTGGAGACCAGTCCTCTTATGTTCAGTGCATTGTGCATGAATGAATGAATGAATTAGTTGTAATTTTAGGACCTCTGGGGTTGACTTTAACACCCAAGAAACATTTCATTTCATTATAATTTGGAAACAACCAGAGAATATTCATTAATTCAAGTCTCCATTTAATGATGGATTAATGATGTCCAGCGTTGTGTTTCTTCTGCAATTGACAAAATGTTGTGGGCTGGCGTACAACAATATTCTGAGATTGAAATGATCAATGGTTAAACCCTGGTTAACTTTTTTTATTTCAAGAGCAAACTTGTTTACATAAATCGTAAACAAGAGAGAGGACATCTCAATGAAGCCCAACAGGGAAGTGCTCAAGGATGAAGTTTTGTGCCAACTCTCTGACTCCTATTGACTTAGATCGTGAAGTAAACTCCTTTAGCTCAGTAACTGTTTGTGTCACACTCACAATTGTGGGATAAAAAACATTAGGGTTTAGTGCTCTCTATGATCCTGGTGTTTATCCTTTAGTATTGTTTGTAAATCCAAAAATTGACCCAAAAGGTTGACCAATCTGATGCCTCTAATTGCGGGAAACTCCAGTCTTAAATCATGTTAGCAACACGTCAGCCATGCTTTTGCTCGACAAGTTTTTATGGATCATTAGTTTCACTTCAGTTTCTAGAAACACTATCCTTTATCATTTACGTAAACATTTATTCAATGTGTTGGTACCATACACAATATACCTGACCGCCTGTCAACGTCTGATCCTGTTAGATCTCAGAAGTTAAGAAGGGCAGAGTCTGGTTAGTACTGGGATGGAAGACATGGGAACACCTGGTGCCACAGTGGGGCGGCTGCGGCTGTCAAGTGACAAACTGTTACTGTGCACTGTGTACTGTCCATGCATTTGTCTCCAGTAGGTTAGACTACTGCAATGGCCTGCTCACAGGTCTGTCCAAACAGGCTGTAAAACAGCTGCAGTACATTCAAATGCAGCAGCTCGAGTCCTGACTAGAACCAGGAAGTACGACCACATTAGTCCAGTCCTCAGGTCCCTGCACTGGCTTCCTGTGGCTCAGAGAATAGACTTTAAAACAGCTCTGCTTGTGTACAAGTCTCTCCATGGCCTCGCACCAAAATATATTAGTGACATGTTAGTCCCATATGAACCAGCCCGGACTCTGAGGAGCACAGGGACTGGACTCCTGTTAGTGCCCAGAGTCAGAACTAAACATGGGGAGGCTGCTTTTCAGATTCATGCTGCTAAAATCTGGAACAGTCTTCCTGAAGATGTGAGACAGGCCTCCTCTCTGACAATGTTTAAAACCAGGTTAAAAACAGTTCTGTTTAGCTGTGCATACAACTGAGGGATTTTATATTTTTATCTTTTAGCAGCGTTTTTTATCTTTTAGCAGCGTTTGAGATTTATGGAGCTAAAATCTGGAACAATCTTCCTGAAGATGTGAGGCTAGCATCTACTCTGGCAATTTTTAAATCAGGGCTAAAAACTGTTCTTTTTAGCTGTGCATACGGCTGAAGGATTTTATTGATACATACTCTTTTTTTTTTTAATGCATTGTGGTTATTTATTATTTTAATCCCGTGTGTGCTTTTAATATTTTAATTTTTTTTTTTTTTTTTTTTTTTTTTTTTTCGTTATTTGTGATTTTATTCTGTTTTTAATGTATTTATTGATGTCTCTGATTTGTGTGATATTATGTGGGTTGTGAGGCGCTTTGAGTGGCCTTGTGTTGGAAAGGCGCCATACAAATAAAGTTGATTGATTGATTGATCTTTCTTTTTAATGTTATGATTTTAATGCTTTCTTATTTTGTTCAGCACTTTGAATTGCCTTGTGTATGAATTGTGCTATATAAATAAACTTGCCTTGCCTTGCCTTGCCTGTGTCCTTAGGCAAGACACTTCCCCCACTTTGCCTTGTATGAGTCCTGTTGGTCTGTAAGTTATTGTTGGAAAGGGAGATGGTGTACATTTACAGCCTCACTTTTGTCAGTCTGTCCCAGGGCAGATGTTGCTACAGTAGTTGACAACCACCGCTGTGTGAGTGAATGAATAATGCTATGTTTTTAAAGAAGTACATGTGCTCATAACAGACCTCTATGATTGCAGTTACTGTTTATGAACCAAGTCGAACTCCCAACAGAGAGACGTCATAAGCAGAACTAGCATGAAAGCTAAAGTGCCTGTGTGTGTTGTGTTGCAGCTCTACAGCGTGGACCTGAACGATGGGACCTTCACCTGGAAGAAGATCGTCCCAGTGTCCGGGTCTCCTCCTTCTCCTAGAGACAAACTGTCCTGCTGGCTGTACGCCGGAAAGTGAGTTCTGACTTTACAAACTGGACTTTACCTCAGAGCAACAGGGACTCAAACATATGGAGATAAACACACACGTTTACGAGGAAGAGCAATAAACATTTATTATTTATTATTTTTTGGTCTATATTTGAATGTTGTGAATCTGTCAAAAGCAAACCACTGGACACGTACTGAGAACAGTTTGGGTCAGACTTTTTCAGTGTCGGGTCTGATGTGGTCGTGTTTTGGCTTCAGGCAAAGCTGGAGGAGAATGGCTGAATCAAAGAGCATGCTTTACCCTCTATTTTTTTATATACATCATTTTTGAGAGGGTCACAAGGTCATGCCAGGTGTATGATTTGTTACCTTTACATTTTGTTCACCAATTATTTGTCCCGAAAAAGAGAGTAACTTTTCACTTTTCATTACTGGGTTAAAAAGAAAACAACCAATTTTAATATTTTTGCAAGACATCGGAAATCAGTCAAACTTCAGCTTCACCAATACAAACATGTTATTCCTCATTTTAAAGCTCTGATTCTGATCTATTATCAATGACTGTAAAACATCTGCAAAAGAGATCAAATAAGTGATAATTATTCAGGCAACTTTAGCTTCACCAAATGTAAATCCTTATGATTTATGTTTGTCATCTCTGTTTACAATCCAGGCTGAAACCATTGTACCTTTTTGTTAGCGTCTGACTAATGATACTGCCATCTCATAAAAATTATTTTGGTGTAGGTTCCAAAAATTCTGAATCTGTCGTTTCCTAGTGTTAAATATTCCGTATGAGTTGAAATGACCCTGAGGTCTGAACACAGTAAAAAGGCGCTGGTCAGGACGTTCTGGTGTGAAGCACTGTACGTCTGAAAACTAGAGAATGCGCGTCTGGTGAGCGAGGCTTCAGCGTTTGAGCGTTTGCGGTCTGAACGCGGCATAATAAGGAGCTCCCTGCACACGCCCTGATGGCAGTCTGCCTATGCTCACACAGGATGGTGTTCTTTGGAGGATACGGACACAAAGTGCTCAGTGACCTGAACAGCAGCAGCAGGAACTTCATCGTGGATGAAACCTCATGGGTGTGTGCAGTTTCTCCTCCATCAAACAGGCTCTATGTGAATGATCATCATGTCTTCTGTTATAGGCTGGAGAGCTGTTCTGGGGATGGAACAATGAAGTGCACATATTTGACCCAAAGCTGTTGAGCTGGAGTCGGCCTCAAACCCACGTGAGTTACAGACGTACATTCACTGGACCACTTCTGCGAAACAAGCTTTTCTGGACCAGGTTCATCACGGTCCGCATCAAAACAGGCCTAACGTTGTTTCTAGTTTCATCCGCACAAACATCAGTCACTTCTCTCTCTGTTCTATGTAATAAAACATTACATGTAATGCAATGACACATCCTCAGTCAACATGAGACGACATGGGCAGAACTGTTTTCTACTTTTACTCCCTCAGGCCTGATAAAATACACCATAAAATTCCTGGAAATATGAAAGTCAAAGATAAAGATGTGGAGCTCTATGTTAACATGTGAATAGTGATTTAAAATGTAAACGCTCGGACGCTTTTTGCTTTTTCCCAGCTCCCTAAATGTTCCTCCACTGTGAAAGAGGAACAGATCAAACCCAACAGATGCTCGTTCTAGAGAAAGTCTATTAGAGCTTTCCCCCAGATGCAGCTTCAGTTTACTGATCCTGCTGCGCCAAACCACACGCAGGCCACTGTGGAGGAATATTATTAGAGACGTTATCAGAGGCCAAAACTACAGGGACTCCAGAGTCCAGCCATTTATGTGAGCTCTAAAGGGTTCTGAAACATTAGTATTTTAACAGATCTGAATAAAACAGTGCTCAGTGTAAGGAGTCGAGTTGTCAACTGAAAATCAGTTATTTAAAACTGTTGAGTTACTTCACTTTTCTTTTCCACAATAGAAAGAATCGCGGAAAAGTAAAATGTTGTGAACAAATCAGACCACAACCTGCTGGTTCATCCTTTGGGGCAATACTTTGGGGTCAGAAAGAACCCTGTGGATCACCATTTGTCGCTTTGGGCTGAGAGCTGATAGAAAGTGGTCCTCTTTTTTCTCTTTTTTGTGTGTGTGAAAGCTGATGTGGACGTGACTGAGGCCAAACATACAAGAATGTACTGTAAAGCCGGGAAATAGTCACCTTCGATCTGATTACAGAGTTCCATTTGTGTGCTTTGAAAGTGAGGTACCCCAGCTTTAAGGGCCAAACTGATGCTTCGTCGTGCTTCTTCCCCCCACAGGGCCGCGCTCCTGCTCCTCGTGCAGCACACGCCAGCGCTTCCATCGGCTCCAAAGGCTACGTCTGCGGAGGGCGAGTCATGGTACGCTCCTGCAGTCACCGCTTCCAGGGTTACTTTTGTCTCTGAGCAGAACCTTGGAAACGAGATTCATAAAATGTCCTATATACAGTAAATAAGATGGATTAGAAATATACACATGCCATATATCATTTTAAAGCAAAGAACCTCTAGAATATAGTTGCTTCGTTAGTTTGAAAATCAGGATTTAGAAAGCAGACAAAAGTTTTTCGTTTTTTGGCATTTTTGGAAGAAGGAAAAAAACTGTCCATAAATCGGTTTTCAGCAAAGAATAATCACAAAACATTGTCATTGTATTGGCTCTAAAAAACAGAGAGCTGATGGTCCCAGGTGTCAGGACGTGTGTGATGCGTGTGTGCTCTGTGTCCACAGGAGACCAGGACGAGTGATATCCACTGTCTGGATCTGGACTCTTGGACCTGGACTGAGCTGTAAGTGCGGGACACTGGACACCTCAGCGGCCAGTGTAGACGGGGCAGCAGGTCTCCCATGTGACTCAAGAGGCCACTACCTTATTTAGACTTTACGGTTAAATCAAAGTTTCTGGAAAGTTTGTTTTTAGCGCATCCTTTTGCATCTGATTCTTATTCTGATTAACTTTTTATAATATTATTTATTTTCTTTTTTTTTAAGGAGAGAACTTTTAACCATGTTACAATAGCTGTTTTTAGATCCATCCATTCTAAAAATCAGCCACTTACCACAAATACTAAACGTAACTTCAGAATCAGAATTATTTTTATTGCCTTTGTATATCGCAAACTAGGAAATTGCTCTTGTTCTTGGTGTTCTCGGTGCAAACAAGTTAAAAAGAAAAAATAGAAGAAGGCATGGATGAAAAAAAAAGTCTACAAAACATTTCTGTCTAAAAGCAGTGGGGGGGGCAGTGTGTCTGGTTCTGGTTTATTCTTATTCTGGAGGTCTCTGTCTGAAACTTTCGGTGCATGTGTCCTGTGTCCAGAGCCCCCTCCTCTGCTGCTCCTGTGGGCCGCTCCTGGCACTCCCTCAGCCCCGTGTCGGACCACAGCCTGTTCCTGTTCGGAGGCCTCAGCGTGGACTGTAGCCCCATGAGTGAGACCACTGCACACGCTCAGCATGGGATTCTAGTCAGGCCTGATATGACTTGGATTAGTTTAAGAGAGCCTTTATTTTTCCCACAGTAGGGAAAAAACTGTTAGGGAAAAACATTTGGAATGAGGAGAACGAAGCAAAAGATAAGTGAACAATAACTGTATACTAAAATAATAACTTAAGCATAACAAAAAAGCAGTACAAAATCAGTACTAAATCTCTACCTTTTAGCCTATTAAAGATACAAGAATTCAGTATAGATTTATATGTTTGAGATAAAAATGTTTCTCAAAGTTAATGCTGGTTCCCATCATTTTTAAACCACACCAAAATATAATTATGTAATAAAATCATTCAAGTTAGTTAGACTGTGCCAGTCACGGTTTGTCCATCACGAACACCATGTTCAAGCACAAGGGTGTCCACCAGTGCACGTGGCACCAGGACACCCTAGGCCGGAGGTTGATGATCGACTTTGTTGTCGTATCATCTGACCTTCGACCCCGTGTCTCGGACACTCAGGTAAAGAGAGGGGCGGAGCTGTCAACCGATCATCACCTGGTCGTGAGTTGGATCCGCTGGCAGGGGAAGAAGCCGGTCAGACCTGGCAGACCCAAGCGTATAGTGAGGGTTTGCTGGGAACGTCTCGCTGAGCCCCCTGTCAGACGGACTTTCAACTCACACCTCCGGGAGAGTTTCTCCCAGGTCCCGGTGGAGGAGGGGGACATGGAGTCCGAGTGGACCATGTTCTCTGCCTCAATCGCCGATGCGGCGGCTCGTAGCTGTGGTCGCAAGGTCTCTGGTGCTGGTCCCGGCGGCAACCCCCGAACCCGGTGGTGGACACCGGCAGTAAGGGATGCCGTCAGGCTGAAGAAGGAGTCCTATCGAGCAATGATGGTTCGTGGGACTCCTGAGGCAGCTGTCCAGTACCGGCAGGCCAAGCGTGCCGCGGCCCGTGCTGTTGTAGAGGCAGAAACCCGGGACTGGGAGGAGTTCGGAGAGTCCATGGAGCATGACTATCGGTCGGCCTCGAAGAGATTCTGGCAAACCATCCGGCGCCTCAGGAGGGGGAAGCAGTTCTTTACCAACACCATGTATGGTGCGGGTGGAGAGCTGCTGACCTCGACTGGGGATATTGTCGGGTGGTGGAAGGAATACTTTGAGGTTCTCCTCAATCCCCCCGCCACGTCCTCTGTTACAGAGGCAGAGGCCGAGGATGTTGGGGCAGATACATCCATCTCCCTGGCTGAGGTCACCAAGATGGTTGGCAGCCTCCATGGAGGCAAGGCTCCGGGTGTGGATGAGATCCGCCCTGACTATCTAAAGTCTCTGGATGTTGTAGGACTGTCTTGGCTGACACGTCTCTGCAGCATCGCGTGGCGATCGGGGGGGGGGTGCCAATGGAGTGGCAGACCGGGGTGGTGGTCCCTCTCTACAACAAGGGGGACCGGAGGGTGTGTTCCAATTATCGTGGTATCACACTCCTCAGCCTCCCCGGTAAGGTCTACTCCAATCTCGGATTCAGGAGGAGGTGTGGTTTTCGGCCCGGTCGCGGAACACTGGACCAGCTCTATACTCTCCATCGGATACTCGAGGGCTCATGGGAGTTCGCCCAACCTGTCCACATGTGCTTTTTGGATTTGGAGAAGGCGTTCGACTGTGTTCCCCGGGGTGTCCTTTGGGGGGTGTTCTGGGAGTACGGGGTCGGAGGTCCTCTGCTGAGCCTCCGACAGGGCTGCCCTTTGTCACCGGTTCTGTTCACTGTGTTTATGGACAGAATTTCTAGGCGCAGCCAGGGGTCGGAGGGGGTCCGGTTCGGAGACCACAGGATTTCATCTCTGCTGTTTGCAGACAATGTTGTCCTGCTGGCTCCAACGAACCAGGACCTGCAGCATGCACTGGGGCGGTTTGCAGCCGAGTGTGAAGCGGCTGGGATGAGAATCAGCACCTCCAAATCCGAGGCCATGGTGCTCGACCGGAAAAAGGTGTCTTGCCCTCTACAGATGGGTGGAGAGGTCCTTCCTCAAGTGGAGGAGTTCAAGTATCTCGGGGTCTTGTTCTCGAGTGAGGGAAGAATGGAGCGTGAGATTGACAGGCGGATCGGTGCAGCGTGCGCAGTGATGCGGTCGCTGTATCGGACCGTTGTGGTAAAGAGGGAGCTGAGCCGAAAGGCAAAGCTCTCGATTTACCGGTCAATCTTCGTTCCCTCCCTCACCTATGGTCATGAGCTTTGGGTAATGACCGAAAGAACGAGATCGCGGATGCAAGCGGTCGAAATGAGCTTCCTCCGCAGAGTGGCTGGGCGCTCCCTTAGAGATAGGGTGAGGAGCTCAGTCACACGGGAGGAGCTCGGAGTAGAGCCACTGCTTCTCCACGTCGAGAGGAACCAGTTGAGGTGGCTCGGGCATCTGTTCCGGATGCCTCCTGGACGCCTCCCTGGGGAGGTGTTCCGGGCACGTCCCACCGGGAGGAGGCCCCGGGGAAGACCTAGGACGCACTGGAGGGACTATGTCTCTCAGCTGGCCTGCGAACGCCTTGGGGTCCCCCCGGACGAGCTGGAGGAAGTGTGTGTGGATAGGGAAGTCTGGGCGTCTCTGTTAGACCGATGCCCCCGCGACCCGGCAACGGATAAAGCGGAAGAAAATGGATGGATGGATGGAAGTTAGTTTTTGCTCTCAAAACAGTTCTACTGCATCGCTACTTGTATGTAATTTTGTAATTTTGGCCTTTTTCACACAGAAATTTGACTACCGTCACTCAGCCAATCAGCTCTCAGCCAAAAGAGTATGAAATACTTAAATGCAGTGAAATGTCTTTAAAGACAACAAATTTGTGTAAGCCCTCAGTCGTACAGGGATTAGTCAAAGCTAAGAGGTACAGATGATGGGTGAGAAACCTTCCTTTAAAGACAACACTAACTGCTTACACGAGAATCTTAAACTTGAACTAAGTAGACAAAAAAAAATATAGTCAGCATTAGATGTGAAGTGATGATGTTATAGGAGCTCGCCGTAAAGCCACTGCTCCCCCACGTCAAATAATTGCGATAATTTTGATACGCGTGGGGGGAAATATTTCAGTTAAATCGTCTAATTCTTGAGTAATACTAATGCCCAGAATATAGAACAAAAGTCACACACGCACGCTGACACACAAATGCCAGTAGTCACTATGCAAGTCAATAACTAATGATTACATTAAAACCAGAATATCTCTTTGTTTGTTTCATAGACTTAATTTACTGTAATTAATTCGTTGTTTGCTAATCGCCATCACTTCTACTGCATCCCGGTGACAATCTTGCTGCTGCATCTGAAACCGTCCTATAGGGTGGTGTCTTGTTGGCCCCTAGTCTTGACATCAGCCTTGCACTTATTCCAGGTGACGGATGGCTGTTTGACACTGACACCAGGAAGTGGACTCAAGTGGAGCATCCATTCAAAAACAAACCCAGGTGAGTATGCGCCGCTCACTCACTAGGTTTACGAGGACAAAAGGCCTGGTCCAGATCACTTGAGCACACACTGGTCTGAACCTGTGCCAGTTTGAGGTCCGCTTTAAATCATCTCTGCTCATGTACACATCTCTCCATGGCCTCGCACCAAGGTACATTTGAGACATGTTAGTGCCATATGAACAAACTCTGACTCTGAGGAGCACAGGAACTGGCCTCCTGCTGGTGCCCAGAGTCAGAACTAAACATGAGGAGGCACCATTTCAGATTCATGCAGCTCAAATCTGGAACAGCCTGAAAATGTAAGACAGGCTTCTTTTCTGACAATGTTCAAATCCAGGTTAAAAACCGTTCTTTTTAGCTGTGCAGACAACTGGGGAACTGCATCTTTACTCTTTTTAATGTACTTTGATCATTTATGTGATTGTTTCTATCTTGTTTTGTTTAGCACTTTGAGTTTTCTTGAGTATGAACTGTGTTATACGAATAAAAGTGCCTTACGTCACGTCCTGTGTTTCCCCTCAGACTGTGGCACACCGCATGTCCAGGCTCCGATTCTGATGTTATCGTGTTCGGAGGCAGCTGCGACTACATCCTGCTGGTCGACACGGTGACTACACTCACACACAGACACACACACACACATGCAAACACACGCACACACACACACACACTCTTCTGGATGAGGCAGGGCCGCATAAAGGGGTCTATTTATCATGTGTTTGTGGGTGTGCAATATGTATGAGCAAATGGATCTTTAAACATAAATTAAGCCCTTATAAGGATTGACTTTATCTAAACAAAAAAATATCTACATTTTTCAAGCTATGCTATCTTTCTCATTCTTTAACAATAGTTCACAACATTTGCAGCCGTGACCATTTATAATCAAATAAGGACTTTTACTGATGGTATGGTATGGATATATTTTTTGCATATATTTCTATAAACCAAATGAGTGCAACTTCTTTTTTTTTTACTTCAACTTATTACATTTAGGGTTCGATGTTTATGGTCATATAAATTGTGTGGCTGATACTGACATTACACTTTATGTCCACAAGGGGGCCACAAAATACCCTTTTACCGGCAGCAATTGGCATGTTTGATAGCCATGGTCTGACTGCTGTGTTTTTAAACTATAGATATACAATTCTATAAAAGTCTGTTTACCACTGAGCAAAAACACAACATTTTCTATTAATCCAAATATAGCAGTAATTTGGACGACAATAAAACCAAAATGTTTTATAGCCCGTTGTTTGTTTAGTTTACATGTGGATCAGGTGAAGATGATAAAACTACTCACAAAAAACTTCCCTCTTTTAAAACAAATATTCTAAAGTAATAGTAATGTTATGGACTAGGGCAAGTATGTCATCCACAGGGGGCAATATGTGTCATGTGCGGTGAGAGGAATGAGGACCCAAAATGCAAAAAGGCCAAAAATAAGTGTTTAATGATAATAAAAATGAAAGTCCAGGTGAAAACAAACTCAAAATCCAAAAGGCACATGGAGCACAGAATCAGGAACAGGATGGAACAGACATTGACAATACAATACAATGGACCAGCAACAAGAGGAGAGGAGCACAGGTACATATAGATGTCAAAATAGAACCAAAGTACAAAAATAAAATCCGCACCATGACAATATGTTTATTAAAGGAAGAGCAGGGCATGCAACAGTTCAATGTTGGCACTAAGTATGCAGCGGGCTCTGGAACAGTCCATGACAGTCGGTCTGAAAGGAAAAGTCACCTGACAATTGAAATTCTTAGAAAACTGGAGCGAAAGTCTCGAAACTGTTACAAATTACAAATGACTTGGACAATATTCTTCCTTTCTGTCCCTCAAACAGGGCTGTCAATTCTGGTTTTTAATCCAACCAAGCAGGAGCACACTACAGACTCCACTCATTTGGAGACCTGAGGAAATGGGTGGAGTCTGGTGTCCTCCTGCTTGGTTGGAATGCAAACCTGCAGCCACACAGCCCCTTTGGACCCAGTTTGAGGCCCCTGTTCTAAAGTGTATTTTTGTTTGTGTGTGTCTGTTAGGGTCACTGCAACGACGCCTTAGTTTTCCAGACGCAGCCGTATCCCCTCTCCAGGTGAGAACACACGCTGGGTCTTCACATCAAGAGTGAAGACCCAGTGTGGATCGTGTGTCGGAGCGTGTGGAGTCTCATATAGTTATCACGTCCACACCTGGATGACCCATGGATCTATTATATTAACTGGATAGGGTATTACTAGATTGTAGCTGAATAACCCATGTGCTCTGGGGATTCTCGCGGTACTGCAGACTGAACCAGACTAATTTCACGTGGGCTATCCAGAAATTTTCCCCATAGGACTCAATGCATATTAAAACAGCTCGACCTCAGCTGACAGAGAAGCTACAGCTTTAATAAAGATCGGATTTTGTGGGGATTTTAGTGTCCCTTGTCATCCTGAACTTTTTTTCTTCTTAAATCCTTCGGTTTTGTTTAAACCAATTAATTGGTCAGAGCCCCTCTGTGCACGTGCGTGAGACCCGGTGTGAGACCCACACACGCGTGTTTGGCGCAACGCATTATGGGAGATCATCCACTGCGCAGAACCGGGAGGACCAGACGATGCCCAAATACAGGCAAGTTTCCCAAAGTTCTTTGCGAGTTTCAGGCACCTTCCGCTAATCTTTTTTTTTGTTTTTTTATTTTTATTTTTCAGATTCAAACAACTTTATTTATCCCACCAGTGGCAATTCATTTGAGCAGCACATAACATAACATAAAAAAAATAAAAATAACACAGGTAATAAGTGATATGTGTAGGGTAACTACTTATATTGCTGATTATGTTATAAATTTAGTAGTGTGGAGCGGCTAGTCTCCGGATTAGGAACTCGCCGTTCCACCAATGGATCTGTCTTATTTATTTTGGGCACCAGCAGACGGTTGAGAGTCTACAACAGAACCAGGATATTTGCCTCGATATCAGTCTTATGAATCTAATGGGTTGAGTACGAAAGATCTGCCAGGGATTTCCTGTATTTATAAACACGACGCTCGGGAATGGAATTACAGTGTTAACATGGTTTTATTGATTACAAAGTGGGATAAAAATATAACGAAAAGGGATTTCTGGTCACATTAAAAGCAGGAGTTGTACACATATCATTCAAATCGCACATTTAACGGGAACAGTCTTACTTTGAGCCGTTCAGAGGGAGATGGGTGACTGGGATGAGGATGGAGTGGAGGATGAGAATGAAGAATAGGGTGGAGGCGATGTCGTCCACGTGGTCTTTGTTCGAACTGGCGGGAGGTATGAAGCCAACGGCGTGGTCCAACTGCGGATCCAGGCGTGCACAACTCAGTCCGGACTGAGTCGCGCGTGCAGAGTCCAGAGCCAGGGCCGGCTAGTTATGAAGAGTTCATAAATCCCAACCAGAAAGGAGGCTTGCGTGAAAGCGGAAGGCCTCAGTGCGGGCGGGCACAGTCGTTGCTGGAGGCACGTACTTATGCTGCCGCAGAGTTGATAGGGAAGTTGGAATGGTGAATTCGGGAGAAAACAAGAGGACGTTCTATGGCATTGTTTGTGTTTATATTGACTTCCCAGGGGAGGCGTGTCCATGCCGCCCCTGCCCTCTGTGGACAAACCCCTTCACAACAGACAGTTTGTAAAGGAAACACACACGATTGATGCAAATGATCATAAGACATGTACAAACACGCAGTGCATTTACATCACAGACATCAACACACACGAGTAAGGTCCGTAACGTTATCGACATAATATTACAGAGTAATGTTCTTTTCGGGTGTCCGCCTTGGGTGCAGTGGTGTCCAGTGTCCGCTAGGGAGCGCCAGAGCGCCGAGGGAGAGTCTCAGGTTGTGGAATGTCTCATGAGCGATTGCTGATGACTGATTCCTGATCTCCGTCTGGCAGGGGGCACACAGATGTCCTGTTCTGTTGTTTTATTGCCCCTCTGGGTCTCGTTGTAGTGTTCCTGGTGAATGTTAACCTTCAATTGAACCCGCAGTTGCTTTGAAGTCTCAGGAGCTAGGGAGGGCATGTTTACGGAAAGGGTCTGTTATTCACACCCGATTGGCGCTCACCTTTTCCTCACCCTACATATGACATGAAGTGGAATCCCATACAAACATATGAACGTAGTACAACATCATAGCTCAACCATCAAAGTCCACATCCAGCTGCAGAGAGTTCATCAGTCTAATAGCAGTTTTTTTTTTGTTTTTTTTTTTTATTGAATCAAACTCTTGCAGAGGTGACATGACATAGGAAAATAAAACAATGTATGCATTAACTTGGGGATTAAACAATTGAGGCAAATCAGGTTAATCAGACACATAAGAATAGGATACAGACATTTCTACAACATAAGGAATTTAGACATAGAGGCACAAATTTCTATTGCAATGGCAGATTTAAGCAATTTTAACAAGGAATAGTAGATTCTGAAATCATTCAAAAAATGATTGAAACAGGGGCTTGACTTTCTCCATTTGCTACAATGAATATGGTATTTGGCTAATAGAAAAACAATATTTACAACATCTGAGACTTTCCTATCTAAGTCTTTGACAAAATAAAATATGTGACACAATTCAAAATCAGGAAGATCCAAAATCTTTAAGGAAAGCCACTCTCTGATGTCACTCCAAAATTTACGAGAGACTGAACAGGTGAAAAACAAATGCTCCAAAGTTTCCTCAGGACAATCACAAAAAGTACAGCCTGAGTTTTCATACTTAAACCGTTTATAAAGAAAATTGGACACTGGATAAATTTTGTGGCAAATCTTAAAGTGAGTTTCTTTGACTTTTGGTGGAATTGGCCATTTAATGTACTTGGAGAAGGCCTCATTCAGTAAAACAGAAACTTCATTGATAAAAACTACCCTATTGTATCCATGATAAAGACAAGATTTGAAAGCATCAGTTACAACTTTTTTATGACATTTCTTATCGACCAAATTTAGATTGTTTAACAGCAAACTCGGCAATGTTGGAGTGGCAGTGGAGTGAACTTGAACATTACGGATCAGATGAATCAAGGCTGCAGGGATGGCTTTGCAGACTTTATGATAATCTCGATGTGTACAATATAAATTTAACCGGTTGACAAAAGTGTTGTGCTCCAATAGCTCTCCATTACTGTCTAAGACATCAGTTACAAACAAACAATGTTTGTGATCTATGTGTGGTGGAGGATGAATTTCACTTTATGTTCTATTGTCCATTGTATAATGATTTAAGAACAGCTTTGTTTGAAAGAGTCGAATGCAGTAATCCTGATATATTTTGGTTGGCAGAAGGTGATATGTTGAGTTGGTTATTTAGAAATTCAATTTTTTGTTTGGCAAGATATGTGGAGAAAGCCTGGACAATGAGAATGAAAGCTTTGTATCCAGATTCTTGATTTTTCTGTGAAATGTATATTGTATATTGAACATATTGTTTAAATGGTCGTCTTCCAAGTTATGTTTATAGTGTCATATAAGCCCATGTGGGCTGGGCACATATGTGCATGACACTTAAATAAAATATTCATTCATTCATTCATTCATACAAACAAGACCCCTTTATTAACCACTCTGACTTAAAAATTGATTTTCTACTAATAAGAATAGACCTGTTATTCCACAGAACAGATCCATGAGGGGTGAAATTGTGCTTGAAGACCATTTTCCAATAATGTAATAACTGGCTGTGGAATTTTGATAGAGCAAATGGGATTTTATTTAACTCAAAATCACATCTCAACAAAAAATCTAGACCCCCGAATTTGTCAAAAATAGCCTTAGGGATATGAAACCACATACTAGCTGGTGAAGAGAAAAAAGCTTTTAACCAACTGACTCTAAATGATCCAATCAGTGGTTCAAAGTTTAATGCTTTAACACCATCATTACAATATTCTTTAACCATGATAGATCTTTTCAAGTAATGTGCTTTGTTCCGCCATAAGAACTGGATAATAATTGAGTTGGCTTTCTTGATGTTTCTATTTGAAATGAAGAGAGTATGACAAGGATAAATTAGTCTTGATACACCCTCTGCCTTAGACAAAAGAACTCTTCCAAAAATGGTAAGATCCCTTGTAAGCCAATGATTTAGAGACTTTTTCATATCAACGATACGTTTCTCTATGTTAAGCTCTTCCATTTTCTCAACATCTCTAATGACAAGCATAATTCAGTTAAGACCTAAATATTTGATTTGCTTGAATTCTTTTTCAAATATTTGGATTCTTTGCAAATTTGGATTATTCATTATTGCTAAAAGTAAGTAATTGTGTTGTTAATATAGAACAATTTTGGAGAAATTGGACAACCTCGGGGGATTCCCCTTGACATTTTAAAAGCTAGGAGTCACAGCTGAACCTAAAGAAACAGAGCTACTTATATCTGAATAAAACATGTTGATTATTCTGCAAAAATTATCCCCAAAACCTGGAAAATTTCAGTGTTTCAATAATAAAGCGATGTTCAAGTGAGTCAAAGGGCTTTATAGAAATCAAGGAATAATAGTAAACTTTCGTTTTCTATAAATTGGCGATAGTCTAATCATGTCTAAGATCAGTCTTGTGTGAAGGGAGTGGGTATATTCCTTCCCTTGATAAACGCCGATTGACATTCACTAACAATATCAGCTAAGAGCTCTATTCAATCGGTTGGCATAGACTAGGGCCAATAATTTATAATCAGTACACAACAGCGTGATTGGTCGCCAATTATCAATTAAAAGAGGGTCTTTATTAGCTTTGGGGATCAGAGTAATAAGTCCACGTTTCATAGTGGGTGAAAGATTTTGGCTTGTAATACATTCACTAAGGGCTTTGAATACTAATTGACGAATATCAACCCAAAAGAAAATAAAAAATTCAGCAGTCAGGCCGTCGAGGCCAGGTGACTTCCCTTTGGCCATTTGATGGATTGCTGTATCAAGTTCTTCAATAATCAAATCATCTTCCATATCACTTTTAAATTCATCCTTAATTTTTCCTCCTACAGATTTGATTGAATCAAAAAAGGATTTACAGCTCGGCTCAGAGAAATTTGTGTGGTATAGTTTGGAATAAAAAGTAAAGATTGATGAATTAATTTTGTCTGACTCTTCAGTAATGACACCATTTATATTTAATTTAGAAATTCTCTTTTTGGATTGTCTATGTTTCTCAAGACTAAAAAAATACGAAGTATTCTTTT